ACATCTAGAGCAAACCTAGCCAGCATTTCCACACGGGGTCATGGAGTGTGGGAGGTTATGCAGCAGCAGCAGCAGCAGCAAAAAACCCAAAAACACGCAAGACTGTAAGCTCTTATAGTGCACGCTTTTAAACAAAATGAAAAAAGACAAACATATTGGCTGTCAAAGGAAGTGCTGATGGGAATAGATTTATGTACTAGCACAGTTGTAAAATTATAACTGAACTCTATTATTAATTCAAACCCCTTTGCAGAACTCTTACGCTGCACTTGATTTTGTTTCCCCTCAATGCTCACACTTTCTCTGTCAGTGCAGATGGAGGTTTACCTGTGGCAGCTGGCTCCAGGTGAGCTGTGCAGGCCGGTAGCTCTTCACCACGATGCCCTGGTCCTCCAGGGGAGCCTCCACCACCACAAAGTCATCGAGCAGCTCATCCTGGTTGGTGGAGTGCAGCCCTCGCTCACGGATCTCCTGGTAGAGGCGCGGTGTAGCTGAGGATCGCATCAACGTCAACAAAGTTTCAATTCAGAGTCTCAGTGTGTGATGGGTTTGCAGTTTGGATTCACAAGACTTCTGACATCACACAGACAACATTGTTCCATGACTATAAAAATCAGGAGAAACAAAGCAAGAAAATACATGCTTTCTAAACTCACAATGGGCTTACACGTGAAGGATTCTGTTGTTATTAACTTGTTAATCTGTCAGACATATTGAAAGAAGGTAATTGTAGGTATTCTGTTAAGTGTACCAAATGAAATACTTAAGCAGAGTCGGTATTGGTCCACATAATAACACGGGCAACATTGAGAATTAAAGCGTGGGAGGTTTAAAAGGATGTGTTTGGAATAAAGGTGATAGTAATTTATATTTAAATGCAGGTTTTTACCTCAAGTGTTTCATTACTGGAATGATACAGAGACCATTATGTAAGCGAAAAGTTACAGATTTGATTCTCACAGTGTTAAATGTGCAGGTGAAATGAAGCGACGCCTGCGAGCTAGTTCAGGTAGTCAACTCAAGCTGCACTGCATATACACGTGACATGCCTCGTCCTCCACAATGATCCATCAAACACACCCCCTCAAGTCTATTTAAGCTGCAGAATGTCCCATCTCTCCCTCTGCTCCACCATGCCACTGCTGCCCTGTATCAGTATTGCTGCCTGCTCTTTCATCCCCACCACCACCCCAACATCCATCTGCAGGCTCCGACTAGGGGTTTAGTATGTTTTCTCTTCCCTACCCTAATACCTCCATGTAAACATATCTGAAAACTGTAACTTTGTTCTACTGCTGTAATAAACATTTCACATGAGTTGTCTGACTGAAATGTCATTATGATATTAAGAAAGAAATATGGCTGCTCTTGCGTCTTTGATAACCAAAACACCAAAAATCAGTCAGCTTTAATGTCACTTAACAACTCTTGAATTCTTTCTCAAGTCCACATAATTATGACTGGAACATTACTTTAAAAACACTGGAAAAGAGTGAGTGTCTGAAGGTGCAGGACATCAAAGTTGAACACTGGGGACATTCAGAATGCTGGGAGTGTTCAGAGGGAACAATTTCCTGTTCAGTCCACTCCTGTTGCCTCAAGGGATGTTTTTTAAACTATGAATTATGGGATTATGGCATCCACATATCAAGTCCGTTTTTTTGAACATTTTCATTGAGAAATTATACGAACACATAATTGCTTTACAATCCAATAAAAAAGAAAAAGAAAAGAAAGGCAAACGTCATTGTTATTTCCCATCTATTTGTAGCCTTGTAGCCAAATTTAGAGAAGTGGACAGAGTGACACATTGGTGAACATACCATCTTTGAAGGACCCACGGTGGTTCTGGTTCCTCTTTCTCCCCAGGGTTCGCTAGAGGGGAGACAGCAGCCTGAGTTTAACACTGTGGAATGGATGTGCCTCAATAATAGTCAGTTTTTATTTTATCTTTTTTTCCTCCTGACATCTTGTTCCCTCTTCAGCCTCTTTCTTTCAATCCTTAAATGTAGCATTTTTATGTATAGTCTGGTAGAAACCCTCAACACTGGTACTGGTCTGGAAGATAGGAAACAGTTGTGGAAACTCGACATCATCCCCGTGACTAAAAGTAGAATTTGACATGGTCACCACCAACGCTATTGACTATCCTGGCTGTGACCTATGAGACTATTCGAAGAACAGAACTGTATCAGCTGGGCTCTGTCTTCATCTGAAGAACAGAACTGGCATCGAAACTGACACTTTCATTTAGTTTGGTAGTTGCGTAGATGTCAATGAATTAATTGCTTGAAGGTTTTTTACATTACCATTATAATTATTATTATCATCATTAGACAACTGCAAATACAAACTCCAGTTTAGTTTATGGTAAATGGACATAGTACAATAGTACCCTTTGACCCCAAACCTTGTACCTTGCGCCCAGGGTTGCGAGCTGGACCACGGCTGGGGGTTCTATCCTCTTTGACAGGTTTCAGTGTTGCTGCAGCCACTTGTTCTGGCGCAATGCTTTCAAAGTCCAGGCTGGTCACAGCCGCTCTGTATGATTTGTTGCGGTTCCTTCTCAAAGAAAAGCCGTCTCCATCACTGTCATAATCCTCCCAGGACACATCTTGCCCCTGGGTTGAGTGACGGCTCCGTGTCCCACTACTGGAGATCTCCAGTCCCACTGGGAACGTCACCACAGTAGTGTGGTGGCGGTTTTTAGGCCGGCTGGCTACAGCTAAATTCTTGGGGATGAGCTGGTGGGTGCCAACCTTCAGCGCTGCAGGACTCTGGGTGCTCAAAACCACCTGCCTAGGCATCCTGTGTACTTCATCTTCTTGGCGTGTGGATGGTTCAGATTGTGACTGGCAGCAATCATCCCCTGGCTCAGATATATGTAGTTCTGTGGATAAGTAGCTCTCCAGAATAAGAGGGGCCTGGTCGCCCATGCAGCTGTCTGACTGGCTGTGGGACATGGTGTCCTCCTGCCTTCACCTCACCCGGTCTACTAACTCTTCAGCACCTACAACATTGGAGGAGTCTGAGGGGGGAGGGAGAATCGGCGTTTACATGCATAACCAGAAGACATTTGGTTCAAATTACAGGCAGGAAACATGTATAAACTAGCACCTTAAATGAAGACATGGTAAAGCAGACGGGGTAAAATGAGTGTCTACCACCAGTGACCTAAAGTGGGGCTCCCAGATCTCTTCCCATCCAAGAAGGGAGCCTCACCCCTGATCCAGTTCCTCACTCACACACTTGGTCGGTGGGATGGAGCGGTCCGTTGTGTCAGTCCTCAAACTCGAATAAAAGCGACTCAACCCGTGACTCACCGCTTACTCCTACACTGCACTTACCCACACAAAAGCGCAGAGACCTGCTCCGGCAAAACTCTGTGCGCCACAGAAACTACAACAAAAACAAATTCACACTTCCTGATAAACACTCCTAACCTGCCATGTGCAAAGAGTACCATGTCAAGTGCAGACACACAAGCACTTAGGGCCAGCTCTTTTAAACGTAATGACATGTTTAATATGACATTCATAAAAGACAGCTAAAAACTGACTTATCTGCAGTTTTAAAATGTACATTAAAATACTGTTATAACACACACAGCAAAAAAAAAAAAAAACAACAATAACCTAATTACAGTTTGCTTGTTTTCCCCCCTGTGCACTCACAGTCTGATTTACCAACTACCTCGCTGACTGAGAGACGGATTAGGGTGGGAGCAAAAATGTCTGACTCACATTCCCATGGTTCATAACAGCGAGGTGAAACGCAGTTCAGTGAACACTGAAACTGTAAGCAGCTGAGCAGCTGTCTTACCTGTGAGAGGTGACCTTACAAACACCAGCCTTCTTAATAAATAGTATCACAGGTCAGTCCGGCGGTTCTCGTAGAGGTGCTGTCCAGTGCGTTAAAGAAGTGCAGCTTCAGCAGCTGTAGTCCTCCGCTCCACTCTGTCACATATTTATTGTTACTCACTCACTTCCTCCTCTGTTCGCAGGCGCCCATTAAGCCGTGCTCCATACGTCACTACAGGTGAGCGTCAATCAATCATCGAAAAGTGCCAATTTAGATTAAAGCAGACAGAGGCCTGCAGCAACGAAATGCAGCTTAACATTTTGGATATAACAGCTGTTTCCCCGACGCGTAACCTATGCGCGGGACTAATTTCCAAACCGAATTAACCACATAAAACTTTTTTTTTCAATCAAATGCATTTAAAACGTCAGGTAGAGTTTGAGTTTGACCCGTCCACGTAGTTATAATCCTTCTCCACATACACGCCAATAAAATCATTTATTTGATCTGCCATCGGATTTCTCTGCCTCTCTCTTAGATATCTGATGATTGTTGACGTCTCACACACCTGATTGGCTAATAGCTCATTGGCGCCCTCTGGTGACCAATAGGATACACTACAGTCTCCTCAGCGATTGACATTGCATGTAGACAATACATGGTGTTGCAAGGTCCATTTACAAAGAAAAATCTTCCACACATTTCACTTTTTTTTTTATTATTACAACAATTTTTGAAAGCTGCAAGCCATAAATAAATGACAAAAGTGTCTAAAACACATGAACACTGTACTCTAATGATTATTTTTAGGTTTTTGGTGTATTTACTCTCGTAGCTATTTTTTTCTTACATATTGCTATTATTATTTGTAAAACGTCATTGGGGATATGGGGTTAAATCCCAACAAGTATGTTGGTTTTAAATCTCATTCTGATATGTAATTCCCCCACCTTCTGTTGAAGCTGTGATGTGTGAATGTATGTTCCTGATATTGGAGTTAAAACCGGGTTTGTGCAATCCACATGTCAGTTTTCTCAAAGTTTCAAAATGTATCTGTAACTCCAATAAGGAGGCACAAACGGAGGCCTCAAACATCATCACAGGTGACTTAGCCTCAGCAAAAACAGAACACTATTAGCCTCAGGTAGCATTTATTCAATAATGTGTTTCTGTTGGAGGCAGCACAAGCACACTCTAAACACTGTTTGTTGATTAAAGATTTATTGTCTTCATTGTTAACAGTCTGAAAATATACATGAATTAGCCAACATTCTATTCAAGCAAGGCTGAGACATGTAATTTAATGCAATATGGAAACAATAAAATTCTGAGAGGGTCACTATATACAGAGTTGAAATATATATATATAGAAAATCAAATGGCAATGACGTTTACATCATTTTCAATTTCAACATCATATGGCATCCGATGACAGTGAGTTAGATTATTTTCAAATGATTCCCCAACCAGGACCATGTCTTTCATGATGACATGATAAGTAGGCCTACGCTCCCTACATTTGTAAAAATACACACCCAACATAAATGTAGTAAACAAGAGAATATTTTCTATCATGTGGGGAATACTAATGTCACGCTCAGCAAGAGACGTCCAGCATGAGTGAGAGGTTCAGTTACTCTTAAATGTCTGTGCACAGATTCATGCTCTGCTTAAAATGTGTCTCCTCAGTTCTGCCAAAAACCCACACTTCCATATGTAGCCCCACATAGATGAACCCGCGCCCAGCAAAAGTGTTAATCCTAGGAATGCTTGACAACCTGGAACTGGCAGGGAATGTTTAAATAATCTGTATTAATAATCAACCTGCCCTTTGTGTCAGTTCTGTCATGTAAAAACGATATGCCCGTATGTTATAATGAATTATTCAAAACATTGTATAAGTCCTGTTCACCTTATTTATAATCAGATATTTGAGCAAAAGACTTCAGGTCCAGTATTAAAACTGGACCTTTCACACTAGCGGCTGTAGACTACTAATGCACAGCAGGCATTATCTAAAGAACAGTACATTTTTTATGTTACGGCTGTTTCTTGCAGACAGACAGCACTCTGCATTCTGTAAGCAGATCAGTTGATCAAAGATTTATCATATAGGTTAGTAGGACAAAGGCTGGAACAGGACACAGGACAAACTGACGTATATTCCCTACTTTTGCAATATTCAGTGAGCGGATGAGATGTCTGGTAAGACGGTGCTCTGCATGTGCACATTCTGCTTTTTTTATGTCTTAAAAAAAGCCATGTTCTGTGTCTTTGTTTTTGTTTTGTTTTGCCCTCAAAACCCAGGGTCCTGGGGTCAGTAAAACATCAAAATATGCTTGAAACACATTATGCAACACATTTCACATTCATGATCACATAACAGCATAACATTTAGGTCACATATAGAAAAATTTAATTGGAACATTGCAGCTTTTTCCGGTGATAATTAATAAAATTCAATTTGTACAGCTACATACTCTTTACATTATTTTAAATAGGATATATATCAATGTTCCAAATCCACAAAAAAATGACAACAAGCTTATCTAAAGAAACAGATTAGTTTGAGCAGTGTTAAGATTACAACTCTGGCAGTAAAATGAAGCCATTAAGAAAGTGCTTCTATGAGCTTGATACAAAAATCTCATGACTAAGTATCTAACATGATAAAGATGATATTGTCTACATACAGAATCCATAAGCTGCTTCGGGGTTTAATAAGCCTTTGCTGAGTATGTCCATGCCATCTTTAGATGACACAACTGTTATGGAGCTACATCATTACATAATGGTGAGTGTGGCTAATAAAGGGAAAATACACATGCAATGACAGGCTTTTCTCCCATGGCAAAAATGCTCACTAGTAGCCCCTTTCGATCATCACAAACCTCTACGTTTGAGAAAATCTTCTATGTGAAATAGCTTCTATTGATTTACAGGAAAGCAAATACATATATACTACAGATAATCTTAATTTAGCTAAGGACACGTGCATTTATAGCAAATGTCTTAAGCGAGGAGAATCAGTGCATGTCAAAGCTATTGTTAGCAAGAGTTTGTGTCCATGAGACTTTTGATGGGAGGTGGTGGGTCACGCTGCTGCGTTTCACCCAAGCTGAACCGCAAAGCCGGTGTGGACAGCAGCAACCTCAGCATGGTTCTGTGTTTCTGGAGGCCAAAGAGTGAGACAGGGTTTAGAGAAGCTCTTCCCCGCTGTCCAGTGAAAGGTGGAGGATCAGGGAGGGTGAGGTGTTCAGTGAAGGCCTTGGAGTGGGTGTGTGAGGGTGGGGAGGGCTGCAGGGCAGAGGAGGGATGAGAGGGCCCAGTTCACTGTTTGGCTATATCCCCTTTCTTCAGAATGATCTGCCGCTGCCAGGGGGCCAGCTTGGTCTCGTCGTAGCCTAGGGTCCGTAGTCGCTCAAGCTCCGTCTTCTCCTCTATCTCTTTTGCCTGTTTGGCCTGCTGCTCCGATTTTCTAGATGCATCCATGAAGAAAGTGGGGAGAAACAAAAAATAAGTTAGAATTGTACAGACAGCTTTCCAAGCAAAGGTTTATTCAAAGAAAATGTGATGATAGGCATTCAAATAAAACAATCATCACACTAAACCAGTTTATATAGTACAAAATAATATAGGCCTACACAAACACAAAAGTCAATTACAATATAGAACTGGATTTTCTAATGTGTGTCATTGGGTATTAGAGTCTTCTCCTCTATTATTACATCTCACAGCCAACATCTCATTCAAAAACCATTGTGTTAATATGCTGCTGTAAAAGCCTCCCCTCTCTTCTGAGAAAGCTTTCTACAGACGTTTGGACAAGTAACCTAGTAAGCCACGCCAGTGAGCCAGCTTGCACAATACAAGGAACCTGACACTCACTCACCTAAAGATACTTCCTCAACAATGCGACCTGTTCCTGCTCACAGGAATAGTGTTTTAATGCTAGGACCCAAAATGACAGGTGAGTGTGCGGTGGGCTGGTAGAGATTTAATAAGAGCTTATGAGCCCTTGGATAGCAAATGCATGTTAGCTTATCTTTGAGAACAAATAGATATAACTGTACTGATTTATACAGCTTAACTCCTTATTCTTGTATATTTGTCTATGTTTACTTCAGTGTAAGATAACGTGTCCACCCCAGTATAGTTAATGCAAACTGAAGAACGATTAACCTTAGCCAGCACTCAGCCGTTACAACAATAACAAAACCACTGACTGTACAAGTGATTATGCCACAAAGCATCCTTAATGCTCTTTCACCCCCCCCCCCCCATTGTAGTATTAACAAGGACTTAGTTAGTATCTGGTGTTTGGCTACTACCTCTCCCCACTTTGGCCACTTGATCTCAGATTCACAGTCTCTTGTCAAATTAAGAAATTCTGAAGACTTGTTTTCTTATCATTGAACACATTTTACAAGAAGATCAATGTTATGTAAACATTATTATCTGGAACAAAAAAGATTTTCTTACCTTTTTTGTTCCCTGCCACATCAGGAGAACATAAGCACAAGGGAAAATGGTGTAAATATCTTAAACTTATTGGAAGGCTTTCCGGTGACAAAATAAAAAGAGAATGTTTTATAATAAACATGAAGTGGAGATGACTGTAGTTGAAAAATTAGAAAGCTATACAAAGCAAATGAACCATATTTCCTAACAGATCAACAAACTTACTTGCTTAACTTTGAATATAACACTGTAAAGACAGATGAAGATTGTAGCACAAAATATTATAGGATGTTGTAACAGAACAAACTTGTAACTTTCCATTTCTTAATTAAACCACCTTGAAGTTAAAAACTATCTAATACTGCAGACCAAACCCACGTGCGCCAGTCAAAACAACAGTTTTGATTTGACTATCACTTAGCTGTAGTGCTAGTACCCAATTTCAAAATGTCACACATGGTTACCACCCTCAGCTAAACAGACACGGGTCACTTTTTTAAGGAAACGTTCTGTTTACAAACTATCTCAGCGAACTGTAAACCATAGATACAGTTACTACTTGAGTTACATTACATTGTTACTGTTTGTTTTTGAACATACTGTCCAGTATCAGAAGTAAGACTTTACACTGAATTAGTTTTGCAAAGCAGGATTCGTTTTCCAGAAGGGCCTCTTTGAGTGCAAACTCATAGAATGTGAAAACAATACGCACTGGCAGAAAATCAAAAGCATGCCATTTAAAACTGAACGCTATTAAGTTGAATACAACATCATGTCCAGCTGTCTGATCTCAGTGAGGCAGCATAAATCTGCCACTGGAAAAAAAGTAACAGTAACTGTGTCATGCTCTTGCAACAGCACTACAATCTCTGGATCATTTCCAGTATGTTGTTAAATAATTTCCTTGAAAGATTCATGCTCCCTTGCAAGCGAGAGGGGTCAGAGAGTACATGTATGAAAATTGGAAAAACTAATAAAAAAGTATTTATTATATAATTTAGCAAGAAATTAATTAAGAACTTATTTCCAAGGGTATCTTGGTGAAGAAACACACTAACATTATGCAAACACATGGCCCAGGAAATAATAAATACAAAATAAGATGAAAAACAGCCGTGCACAGCAACACAGCTTCGTTACTCACCTCTCTTCGTCTATTTTCTTCTTTAACATGTCTCTCCTCCAGGCCGGCATAGATGCCAGGCGTGCAGCCTCCTCCTCAGCCTGTAGATGGACAGCGGGGTCAGGGGAGAACAGAGAATAGGGGTCCATACCAGTCAGTGAAGGATTTTAACTGTAACAGTATCCTGCTTTGCATGACCTAATCCCCTGGTGCAGCGATCACCCTCAGATAAATGTCAAGTGAAATTTTAAGTGAAATTTACCAAGGTTCTTTTATAGCTTAAGGATCTAACTATGCTAAGTACTTGACCAGCATCAGCTTCAAATACATTGCCTCTGTAACCCTCCTCTGCGTGTGAAATACAGAGCATTCACTGCAGTCTTTATTGTTGCAATACACATTCATGAGCATCTGAGAGGAATGATTGAAATGTGGTTCAATCAACATCAGTGCTATCAATCAAAAGAGGGTTATCTAAACACTTTTATGGGAAAACATTCAGGCCTTTCATGTTGTTAAGGCTGGGAGATACAGCATTTTTGGAAAGATATGTATACAAAAACACATAAAACATGATTTAACTGATTTTCAATGCAATATATTGTGTCCCACCGTTATGTATTACACCAAAGACATTGAACATGTGTAAAACAAAGTCATAAAACACCAGTTTTCAAATACTTACATCAATTTGTTTTGCAGTTATCTGGGGCATTTGCAGGGCCTTATTCGCAAAGTAATCCAGATAACTCAATAAATCTGGTTTCTGAAACTACAGTTTCTAGGCGGTTGTAATACTTATACAAATTCAAAGACAAAAGGCCTTCATGAAAGACTAAATACTGCATATAGTGTACTGTGTAAACTGATGTACCATGCACTTAAAACAGCAAACAGAGCTCACAATAGGTACTCTTCTCCTGTTTGCGTTAAAATAAAACAAAGCCTTTTAAATGGACAGGACACTGTTTTACAGGGCGTTCTCTCAGACGGCGCACACAAACAGTAACTGGATCCTTTTCTCTTTCACGCTGTAATCGGAGGTGGAGTGGAGGAGGGTTGAGGGTTGAGGGCAGCCATCTTGGATTTCTCATCTTCGCCTGACAAGATACATTACCCTTTTGCATTCCTCTTACTAAAGCTTTTCACTTGCCCTGGTAAACATGAATCCAGGTAAGATTATCTATACCGTGAATATTTAATGAATGAATGATTCCCCTGGGAATTAGGGATTAAGAAAAAAAAAATGGTGATAGATTTATGCTATGAATGTGAAGTGCATGATGTGGATAAGTATTAACAATGGAATAAGGCTACTTACTGCTCCTCCACAAGTCACAGATTTGCTTGTTCGCTGACATAATAAAAGTAAACCAAATAAAAGTGACTTGATTAGGTCATAGTTCTGTATAAATCTATGAATACCTGGTTTACACAGTGTTGTGAATTTTAGAACTGTGACCATTAAATCAGCTTATTACACTATTTGATACCAGCTATGTAATAGGAACAGTAGGGAGGGTACACACGCAGATTAAAGTATGTAGTATTGTAGTGCTGATGTAGAGACCAATCTGATAAACCAAACAACAGTAGCTTTAAAGCAAATGTACTAATATCCAAAGTAGTGTTTAGTTAGTGCATCTATACAAAGTGCAAATAGTTTATCAGTGACTTCTTGAACCTCCAAGCTCAGCAATGTTATTATTATGCAGTGTTCATTTAACTCACATTAAATCCTTTAATACCATTTATTACAAAACTGAATCTGAGTCTGGATGAATGGAGAGAACTTGCAGACTCCACACAGGAAATAAACCTGTTATTAACCATTTATTTGTGAAGGAACAGCTGCTGGAGGAAAAATCAACAGCCTATTGCGCTAAAATGTAAGCATGTGGCCAACAAAATCAATAACAACTAAAAAGTGAAGGTTAGGTTAATCAGTTATGACTACAAAAGAGTTGCTGGGCCATTTCAGTTAAAAAACAATAAAAAGGAAAAAATTAAGTGACACTCTGATTGTTCTGAAGTTTTGCCACCCAAACTATACCCGAAGGGACTCAAAAAGGTATTTGTTTTTCGGTTAGGTTCATGTTGTCCGTTGCGCCTTACAGACTACATCCACTGGAGCCTGAGAGTGTAGCCAATACATTGCATTAGCCTTGCAAGCATTCATTACAATCACCAATGGATGCAATAAAAATAGTTAACATGAAAGTTTGACAAAATTCAAAATTCACAATGATTCAGGTAAAACTTGTGTGTCCTGTAATTGTATGTGCACACCACTCTGTGTTCTGACTGTGTGGATTGTCGGGTTCCTCTGAGTAAGAAGCTCTGAATTTATCAGCCAAGATCATCTGGTAAATTTTAGTAAAAGGCAAGTTTGCCTTGATATGTACTAAAAGGTAGGGCAGATTACTTTATTATTACTGATATTGAGAAATCATGTGCTGATAGTTGGTTGTAATTTGTGGCGTTATTGCCACCAAACATGTTAAAGGAACAGGCAAATGGCAATAATAAGATGCTTGTATTTTGTGCTAGTGGTTGGATCATGAATTTGGCAGTACTAGTCAGGCTGAATCTGAAAAATGGGGTGTCTTTCGTGTCTGAGCGGACCTCTAGTTGTATCAAATATAAACAGTGGGGTATTACCTGTTACCACTTTGTATTACATAGATATATATTAAGTAAAATCTTTTTATATGATTTCCTAGACATGTAACACATAAACCTCTGTGTAGTCTGCACACAAGTGGGCTTAGGATTACAATATAAATTTGTTGTTTGTGTTTATACGTTTTACTTGCCAACATATTTATTGTCTGGATTTAATATTGACATGACACTCACTGGCATATGTGCAAGCAATACTGTAGTTTTCACTGGTGATGCGTAATTTATTTTTCCTTGATTTGTACATCGACTTGTTTATGTTTTATATATTCATTGTTGTAAACCACTGTGTGTGATACCTTTTTTTATTCAGCTTGTCTCTGTTTTACACTGAATGCTGTAAAGCACTTTGTTACCATTAATGAAAATTGCTATACAAATAAATCTATTCTTATTATTGTTATTTGCCCTTGTACTGTGTGAACGCTTGACAGATTTAAAAGTGGAACTAATTATAGTTTTGTACATGACTTACACTGTATAACTACCGCTCAGTCCTACTTTACTTTTTCTATTACTGTGCTATTTACATTCACTAAATCTGTATGAAAAACTGTACATAAATACAAATCTATATATATGCCTTTAAGTTTACCAGGTGACTCTCTTCCCTTTTGGATTGTGAGTTGATCAAGATTCACTGTAACCTCCTTATGGCTCCTGTAAGCCACAGATAGCATGACAGCGGGTGGTGCTAAGAGGGTTATTTGAAGGTAATCTTGATAATACAGAAGTGACACTATGAGAATACTTTGGTTCTTTACTGCTACAAGCATCACAGCAGAGCTTGTTGTTGACAGTGGCTCTGTCATTGATACGTATATCAGTGTGATTATTTAAAATATATTAATTTTAGCCTGATTTACATTTACATTTACATTTATTCATTTAGTTGATGCTTTTTTATCCAAAGCGACTTACAATTGCTATACATGTCAGAGGTCGCACGCCTCTGGAGCAACTACGGGATTTCTATTAATAGATCATTAAAATATTTGGTTGGTCATGTGTTTCAGTTGAGTCCAACCAATAGTTGAGTCCAACCAAGTAGAATGACTGAACTACTAACTACTGAAATCATATAATCACAAAAATGCCAACAGACTTTATTTTCAACAGCAATATAGAAACCAAATAATAAAGGAACAACATATTTAAATTATGGAAAGTTTGAGCAAATCTCTCAAAAACACTCAAATTACAAGTAACAAAAAGATGGACCAGTCTTCATGGAACATTTACAAACCCTTATTTTGATGTTTCATTTTAGATAATAGTTTTGTCAAGTGAATCCTTTCATTTGTTGACAGAAATCTGCAAATGTTGATTACTAATAAAAATGGACCAAACTCTGAGCTGTTTCTCCAGGCCTTTCATTTACCATCCCTGTTAATCTTTGTAATCTATACTGAAAGGTTCACATTGTATATACAAAATCATGATGTCACAGACTTAAAGACAATGGCCCTTTGTAAACCATGAAGTAACCTTAAACTCTTGAAGTATATAATAAAATAATAGTTTTTCGAAATTGCCTTTCTGAGAAAGTGAGTCACTGAGGCTTTCTCAACATGAAATGCAATCTGACGTTTTCCATACAAGCAAAGTGTGCAGGGTTTTACCAGTGATGTCCTTCATTACAAAGATGGCATTTATGGCAAATCTTTTCCTTTAAAGGTTTGTTTTGCTAGAAGTATTGTACTATGGCAATCAGCCACACTAGATTCAAAAAGTTTTTTAATTCAAAATTAAATAGTATGTGTCTTTTGACATCACAGGCTCTCTATTCATCCACTTCAGTATATGCAAATGGTAAAGTGAGTACACCTAAGTGGATGCTCTTTGCTTTGCTGGAGTTAAGTCCCTTATGTGACATGGGCTAAAGGTCAGATTAGTTTCCTTTCACAGCATACTCCACTTTGCAGGTTTGCTTCCCTGATCCTGCTCTTTATGCATTTCCTCTCCGGTTGTATGGATCCTTAGTCCACATAGTTGTTAGATATCAAAAAGCTCAGCTTCTTTTTCTTTCCAAAAAGCAAAACTTCGGTCAATGTACCTGATGATCTCCTCATTGCTGAACTCTTTTAGCTCATAGATCACTTTAATTGAGTCTTCATTATGTTCATCTCTGGGTAGAGGTTTATCAACGTGAGGTTCCTTTAAGATTTTAACAGTAACAGGTGGAACATCTTTCACTGGATCTGGTACGGAGCTTTCTCTTGTGTCCTGCAGTGTTTCGGCTTTTTCTGTTACATTAGTGTATTGTAGAGTTTCAGTTGTCAAGATCTGCATATGGTCCTGCTCTGAACTTTTCCCATTAGAAAGCCCTGCCTCAATTGATGACATGTGCTCACTGGCTTTTACGTCCCCCTGCGCGTTGTCCTCCTGTGAGCTACTCACGGTTCTCTGCTCCACAAACTGGCCACTGACAGATACACCATCCTGGGGTGCAGCAGGTGATAATGTAGAAAAATCAGATTGTGAGGCTGGTAGGGATTCTTGTGGTGATGATGCAGGTAGAGTACCATTTGGAGGTGGGGGCACAGGATGGGTAGGTGGTGGCGGAGGTGGAGGATGAGAAGGTGGGGGAGGGAGTGACTCCTGCATTGGCATTATGGACATGTCAGGAGACATGGACTGTAGCGAAGCCGTCATCACACCTCCCCCATCTCCCGAGTCTCCAAAATACTTGAGTTTTATGTCTTCAAAACCATCTGCCCAGTCTCGCTTCCCTCTTTCAATTTCCTCCATGACCTCCTTGTGAAACTGCCTTATGACCTCCCATTTATGGGTACCAAGACGATCAAACATCTCGTAGCACAAGAGGTGACGAAATTTGCGCTCACTGCGAGACATGGTCATTTCTAGCAACTGGAAGTATCCTAGCATGAACAGGTCAAGGCTTAGGCTTTCGTAGCTCACAGGTGACCCGTTGATGTGTGGCAAGAAGTGCTCCGGCCAGTAGATCATCTGGGCCCGACTCAGCCTGCGGATCTGCCGTGTGGGCACTTGACTCATGATATTCCTCCAGTGCCCAATCAGATTCCCTACTACCTGCTTAGACTTCATGAAAAGGAAGAGTTTGTCGTCTTCACTCTGCATCTCTCCACCAATCTGTGCACTAAATTGGTTGTAGTCCTCCCAGCCCATGTCTACATGATTTCCTCTTCTGCCAGTATATTTAGTCTGATAAGATTCAGAGATAGTGTACTTCCGCCAGTGTTCGAGGAACAGGAAGACGATTCTCTCTTTCCTCATTTCGATACATTCCTGGACATAGCTTAGATCTGTCTGCACCTCCAAGCTTCTTGTTAGTTGATCATTATTTAACACGGGGTCTGTAGAAATAACCTGATTGAACTGTTCAATGGTAGTAGGAGCCATTACCTCGGAGGGCACATACGTCTTAGGAGCATGAGATGCGATGATAACTGGCTCTTCAACAAGTGGTAAGACTGACTCTCCCACTGAAGGTAAATCTCCATTGGCATGAGACGGAAGGACCTCAGCAGAGTAACAAGGGACATCATCCTCACGAATGGTCTCTGGATAAATAGACTCACTTACCACAGGGAGTGACCTCTTGCGTTTGTATACCCTAGCGTTGTTATCTGCAGACTGTGACGGATTCTGAATTTCATAATTGGCCTTCAGATTCTTCACTGAAACGCCACACTGTTTTATCTCCTTCTCCACATCCTCTCTTGTTGAGAAGGACTGAGACCGTCCAATAAATCCAGTCCCAACAGATCCTGCTGCTTCAGACTGGCCAGCGCTCACATTCTTTGCCTCTTCTTGAGAATATCCAGGACATATAAGATCCAAGATGTCTATCTCTTTTCCCCCCAGAGTGGCAAGAAGAATGGCCATACTCTTGAGCAGGGTAGAAATCTTGCTGCACCAGGCTGGAAGATCTTCAGCCTGGCCATGTACCTGCTTTGGATTGACTGAAAAGTGTCCTTGACTTAGGGCTGCAGACACTGGTAGAAGCTGGTGAAGCTGCCGCTCCAGGTCTTCCAGCTCCTTCTCAACTTCTGAGACCTTGTGCATGACCTGCAGGTTCTCAATTTGCTTCTCAATACGGTTCAGGTCATCCTCTGTCATCAGTTCCCCAAATGGGCCCAAAATGGCATTGTGGATATGGGAGTAGTGCCATTCCTGAGGCTGGTAGTGTCCACTTGCCGCAAACTAAATCAGAGGTCAAAGGAGACCAAAAGACAAGAAAAAGGGAAGGAGGGAGGGATTCCTTCAGCTCAAAGTTCCTGGTGTGAACACACGCTTCAGTGCAAATCCATCTTCACACACAGGATTTACATGGATTTAGTGGTGCAATGGCACTGCCTCATTACAAGCACAGAACTTTCTACTTTTAATTTTGAGTCAAAGAGAACAGAGAAAGCTTTGTCCTTTTATTAATTATACCACTATTGATATGTATAAAATACTGATTAGTGTTACAGGTTTGCAACATGTCTACATTAGGCACTTCACAGTGCAGATCTTTTACATCTATATTTGGTCAATCCCTCGTTACAGTGTCTCTCTCCCATTTTTATGAGTCAGTTGTTTTATGTTCTTGGTTAGTTTAAATGGGTAACTACACAAATGCTGTAAATTCTTCTTTTACTTAAATCCAACAGTTGAATTTTTCATATTGTCTGCGACCCAAATATGATGAAGACTGTGGCATAGTGTAATGTTACATTACTTTTGGGTACTGGTACCAGTGCAACAGACAGACACACTTCAGTTCACACCCGAAACCACACTGGGTGTGATTAGAGGTGCCACAGAGTTGAAAATGTCAACCCAAAGAAGTCAGTGCAACAAAGGTTTTTCTGACAAAGGGAATTGGTGTAGAGTTACTCTCTAACTTATCATCTACCAGTTTTTAAAAAAAACGACTTCAAGGAGATGGCATTTATGTTTTTTATCCTCACTGCACACACATTTTTTTGCAGTATTTTGTAACTTTAAGAGTAAAGTGGAATATTAATGTAATTTTTTTAAAATTATTATTACTTTTTGTTATTATTACTGGTTGACCTGTAGTGTGAATGAGCCCCGCATCACACCACTGAATCAGCATGTAAAAACTTGCCGCAAAACTCCATCATCAAACACCCGGCCACACTGTCAATCCATTAGTCAAGTGTGTAAATGTGGTGATGGGTATTGTAGCCAAGTATTCAATTCACTGCACCCCAAAGAGTCTCTTGCTATTTATGAAGGCTACAAATATGAAACAAAAGAAACATGCATAGAGATGAATGAAGAAACAAACAAATAATTTTAAAATTAGTGAGCACTTGTCTACATTTAGCGCTAGCTAGGTCCATTGCCGCTTCATGAAATTACTAGTCATTATCTTTCAATGTGTTATTTACAGGGGAAACTATATCACTAAAATACTTTATGTTTAGCTTAGTTTACAACTTTTATTTCCGACAGCCAGATAGACATTCTAATGATGCCACTGTATCGCAACAGATAAACAGTTCATATTGCGAAAGTATGAATACTAATACACATCATATAACCACACACTGCTGTGACTATTTATCAAGACAGAAGAGGTAGAGGTCATTGATTTAAAGACCTAATAATCGAATTTAGAAACAATGCTTGTTTGCTGAAACCATTGTTGAATAATATCAGCCATGGCAATTGTAGTATAAGACAGGTGATGACAGTTAAAGTGAGAAATGCTCAAAAAGTGATCTACAGCTTGTTTGACAGTACAGACACACTGTGCTTCAGCTATCATGGGAATAAAAGCAGAGATGCTAAATGAACTTGTGAACTCTCTTTGGATGTTTCACCCTCAACTAACTAACTCAAAAAGAGAGCAAAAATTTGTGTCGTGCATTAATACTAAAAATACAACCTCCATTGTTAAAATCACAAAAATCCAAACCCAAATCCAAGCACCAGCTATCCCCTTTGTGTTGTTAGTTATTTGAAAATGAAGCCATATCTAATCAAGTTTGCAGAGCATTTTATATTTACGGAAGCACAAATGGGATAGCTAGGACAAAATAAAACTTCTGGACCTTTCTACAGCCTTGCAGCAACTTGCCTACCTTGCGCTTGTGCTCCTCCTCCTCTTGCATCTTGACCTGAAGCTTTCGCACCATCACCTGCCTCTTCCATTCAGGGATGGCTTTTCCCTGTTCGTCGTGAGTAGGAACTAACGCCTCCACATCTGCAAGGCTCAATTTTCGCCCCGACTCTGCCCCTGCCATGCCGCCACCACCGTTCCCATTGATCAGAGAGTTGGAGGACAGTTGCTCGTAGCTTGCAGAGGTCGACATGGTCCTGGCAGATCCGGAGCCGGTTGGACTGGGGCTGGGACTAGGGGTGGTGGGTGGGGAAGTGACGGATGTAGTGGTTGGTGGAGGGGATGGCGGCTTGGCTGGTGGGCTAGATGTGCGGGTCTCTGGAGGAGATGCGGTATTTTCCTGGACAAAAATAAAGACACAGATGGACAGGAGAAAATGGGGCATGACAAAACTGAAAGCTGGTGGATTTGAAACTAATCACTACTCTCCTAACTTCATCCTTAGACACATACAGCTTATAGACAGTTTTAGGCATTCTTGTGGAAATTTAATATGCAAATGTAAATGTGCCTTTCTAGTCTTTTACACTACATCACATTCACCATTCAAACACATTCATACACTGAGCCTAAGTTCTAAGCCTAAGTTCACTGAGCCTAAGTTCAGAAACTAACATTCATACACATTCATACACTGGTGGAACAGCCACCAGGGGCAATTCGGGGTTCAGTATCTTGCCCAGGGACACTTCGACATACCGGGGACTGAACCGCTGACCTTCAGATAAACGGGCAACCCGCTCTATCTCCTGAGCCACAGCCGCCCACAATATGTCACACGATGCAAAGATTTCTTCCAGATTATGACACATTAGTTACCCTTTACTTACAGTACCTTAAGTTCAACTCATATGGCTTATGACCACGCTGACTCTGACTCCTTTGGTATGAATGATGACATTGTAATGTGTGTTAGGTAACTGAGGCTATAGATTCCCAGTTCCTTCTTAGCCTAAAGGGACAATGTGGCATTTTATTTTGGAGGAAGGACAAATCAAAGCATTAGTATTACTGTTCCATTTTCCCATTTCTAGAGTTGTGAAGTAGTTCTTCCAACTTTGTTGTGTTCATGTCCTTTTAAGTCAGAATGTGGAAAAAACATGGACGGTACTAAAAAGATGTGTTGGATTGTCATTGTTATCCAAGTATGCTGAAACAGTTTGCAGCTTTAAATTACAAGAAAGACTTGTTACTGCACCAGTACATTACCTGATTGTACTGCAAATACTGCTAATAAGTAACTGTCCAAATGAATCAAGGTCACTCTACAGGGACAGCAAGTTAACCGTTATAACCGAATACCATATTACAACAAACATGTTAGCAAAAACTGTATATGCAATATGTATTTTTGCACCATTAATCAAACATTTCTAACCATCAACCATGTTTCTACATGTATGACGTCAACAACTCAGCAACTCCACCATTTTCTCACACTTTCCAAGTTGTTGTTCTGACTTCAATAGGCGTTCACTTGAATTTTCCCACTTGGGAAATAATTTTTCAGATTATTCCGACACCGCATGAATGCACAGTTAGTATAGAATTTGAAACTCATATATGAATACTCTTGTTTCTAAATAGAACAAAGTACAGTTCCCATGATTGAGGTGATCTATTCATTGAGCTTAGAGAGCTCCTTGACCCATTAACAAATTGGGGTTGGGAACCCTGAATCATAAGTGAATTACTTTTTCTTGTATCCATCAAAGTAAATTCAGATTCAGAAAGTTGCACTGATGTGATCATGAAGGAAGCATCACTAAGCGACGACAATGATGCGGTCAGTGAACACAGGCATGGCACCGGTGGCTGGCTACCTATTCTCTCCTTTGATGGTTTGGGATTATTTTGCTTAATTTCTGCAGATTTATTAAAGGCACAGTGACATCCAATCCATAGTTTATTACAAAAGCTGTGGCTGAATAATAAAAAAGGGCAATTCTGTATCAGTGACTGTTACATTAATGTATCATCAGTAGTGGAGGAAGGCTGTGGACCTACATTGTTGCCTGTGGGTCCGCTGTTGGAGAACACAGTGGTGTAGCCTTTACTGTGAGGTGTGGGCTTGAGGCTCTTCCCTGCTTTGATCTCTGCCAGCAGCTCTGAGTTGTCGCCAGTGGGGGACATCATGTTGAAAGATTTTGTGCCTGCAGGCAAAAGGACGGAGCAGAAAAGTGAAACCGGGTAGAGAGAACAACGGAACAGAGGGAAAGAGAGACAGGGAGAGTGAGTGAGATTCACTGAAGAAGGGGAGTGAGAGAAGGGTTGGGTGGCATTTCAATGTTAAATATTTTATACGATCAGGCAGGTAACAATGCTGACCTGAAGCATGTTGCATCGTGATGGGAGGTCATTATGGTGTACTGAGCCACTGTTTCTCATTGATAAGATTGTAATCTTTCTTTTTACATGCGTTTATTTCAATTGGCATGTGCATTTATATTGGGGGGGTCAGGATTTGTTTAAGACATGTCTTTTTGAAACAGTTTTACACAATTTGGATTAATCAAATGGCTTCCAAGCTACCGAAACCCACTGAATAAATTTCAAAGACATTTCAAATAAACCAATGAGAATTCAGCACATTAGCCAAATGTTACATCAATCAACAGTTGCAGTGAGCCAGGATTAGATGGATAGGAGCAATGCAAAATTAGTTCACTAAAGTGAACCCAAAGAGAGGAGGCACACAATCTCTTTCAGAGTGTCACCTGAAGTTTACACAGTTAAGCTACTGCAGAACTTTTTAAAAAGCAGGTCTATGGTAAAATATATACATTAGTGAGAAGAATGCAAATAATTCAGAACTATGAACTCCAATGTCAATGTACATGCCCGAGTTTTACCTATGCACAAACATTTAAGATGTGGCTGTAAAATGCTCTGATCAAACATGACAATGTAATGTACAATTAACTATTATAGCAGCCACACATTTATTTTACAACATTTAAATTTCACATATTTTGGCCCAAATAGCCAACGGCTCCCTCACCTGTTTTAGTGAACGTAAACCAATGAATAGAATATCCTCAGTCCCTCAGTGATCACTCATTTTCTACTTGGGGAGTAGAAAAAAAGTCCTGCCGTAAAAACGTTCTGTGTTGCGACGACCACAATGGTCTAGCTGGACACAAAGCCTCGCTAGCCTGCCACCCCTCCTCACTCTCTCTTGCTCTCTCTCTCGCTGTCTCTCTCTCTGGGAGGAGAGAGCAGCTTTCTATTAAAGACCCATCATCACAGTCGGGGGAAATCTAAAGGAATCATCAGTAACTGGAAGTGACAGCGAGCCATTGGCAAGCCGGCCAGGAATTAACACACTCACGCACACATGGACGGATGCATTTAGGCGCAAGCCCAGACACACACACACACACACACATAGTCACCATGGTCCGCACACAGACCAATCCTCACCCCAGCAAACCTGACCACAATTCAATCATACACGCATACAGTCTCACGTCACATTTATTGTACTACAAATAAAGAGAGGGCGGTGACCGACAACCCCCCACCCCACCCCCACCCACACCCCCGAGCCTTACATAATGTCAAACTGTGGCTTGTGAAAAGTTTGTGGATAAAAGGAAACGGCTGCTGAACACTGCCACACTTTTACAACAACTCGGTGACAGCTCTTTCAATTTACAGTCAACAGATTATATTGTTCTATAAATATTCATTGACAGGTTTAATGAGCACCACCAAAACTTTCTTAAAAAGAATGTACCTGGATCAGTCAAAAAAAAAAAAAATATTTCTAATTAATTTCTAGCCTACCTTCACTCATTTTCCCCTGTCCCGAACACTTGATTATCCACAATCAGATGTATTTGAAGGCTAAAAAAAACGTACACTGGCCTGAAGTTGGTGTACAAAATACCTTTTGTATTTGTACGCTTTTTTAAAAAGGTTGTGTGTTTGTGCTTGTCAGATTCTGTTTAGGCTAGGGGTGTGACTCTGCTAGAGTGAGTGTAAAAGAGGGCGGAGCTGTGACAGGTGGAGAACATTTGACAAATAGCCTCCCACAGCACAAAAGCTTTTCTGCTCTGGGATTGTTTGTTGTTGCTGTTAGTCGCAAAGCAATTCAGATAGAAATCTGTCCTTTATATGTCTGGTAATATGAAAAGGGGGATCATCTCCATTCTGTTAATCAATAGAAAACAATGGAGAGCCGCCTACAGTGTTGCAGCAGCATTTTCAATCAGCCACCTGGTTTGTTGCTGTCGTCACAATTAGCATCTGAGCTCTCAGATGTGCTGGTGGCTTTTAATTTTATGACCGCCTAACTGCCTGTTTGATTGCCTGTTTAACGCTGTAGAACAATTCATATCATTAGTGAGCACACACTGCTCCTTAGCACTTCAGATAAAGATGTTTTATGTATAATATAAAGTATAATGTTCTTCTCCCTGTTGATCAATAGAGAAAACTTCCAACCACTTACATTGTTGCAGCAGCACTTTCAATCAGCCACCTGGTTTGTCTCAACAACTATCTGAGCTGTAAATTCATCTCCAGCTCTCAGACATGTTGGTGGCTTTATATTTTATGACCACCTAAACTGCCCGTTTATTACCTAAATAATGCTGAAGCACAAATCATCCCATTATTGAGCACATACTACTCTTTAGCTTTAAGTATTTTATTGCTATCCTACCATTAAGCAGCAGGTGGAGCACAGATAGATGAGACAATTGGATATTTGGTAAAAAAAGCCTATAATACATCGATTATAGGCTAAAAAGGTGCCTAAATGAGGCAATTAATGGTTTACAGCTTAATTGGTGTTGCTGTTGTTTACATATATTGTAATTGATCCTTCACTTAAACCTTTGTTTGAAATAATGAGCTTCCTCACATGCCATATCCATGACATATATCCATCTCAAAAGAAATTCTGTTCTAAACTAGCATTTCCCTTTTTATTATCTATATCCTATGTGGCACAGATTGTATAATATATATTACTTTTTTAATGTTGTTGATTTTTGAGTATATTCGCAAACCATACTACAGGTGAAAAGTATTTTTTCAGACAAAAATAAAGTTTTTGAGAACATAGAGAGAGAAATAATCGCTTACCTCTTGCTCTTAATTAATTACCTAAACCATTTATGGTTTAAGCAGTGAACTTCCTTGAGCTCACTTGTCGACAGCTTATTTATGTAGGTGTTGCCCTTCTGCTGTCTAGCTAGGGTGGATATCACCCTATCTACACAGTTCTTGTATTTATTCAGAACTTCCTATAAAAATAGTTGTCGTTTTTTTGCTTTGATAAGGTGCAATACATTGTCGTGCAACAGAAAGTAGCAAAATATTTCAATGACTACTAGACTCTAGATTATGATTTTAAATGTTATGGAAAGTGTGAAGGCCTACTGTGGACCCCCAACCTTGATATGAGTAACCGAGTGAACTGATTTGGTTGAAAGACTGGTTCACAATCTGTACTTACACTTCATTTGTCTTGGTGCCCCTCCCACTGCCTGAGAAGCAGACATATCCCCGCCTTGACAGAGCAGCAGTGAGGACAGACCATGGCAGGCAAGAAGAGAGGGAAAAAACCCAAAACAAACAAAAATGGAGAGACACAGGTGGAGATGGAGCAGGTGAAAGAAGGAACATGTCAATAGAATTGCACGTTAAGGGTGTTGGCCTGAAAAATCATGAAAAATGACCTAGCATCTGTATATTTTTTTAAATTACTACCAAAAGAAAAAAAACGTTTATCTCTTGTCACTCTTCATGTTACTGTTGTTTGGCGTCTCAGCATCTTTTGCAGGCCCAGCCATCTTGGATCCCTCTTTGACACTGACACTGCTTAACAAACTAGGCTATGTTACGTAGATTTCTTTGATAGTGTGTTGTCCTTAATTTTTGTGTTATCTGTTATATAATTGATTAGGCTCCTTAATGTTGTGGTTTATTATTAATTAGTTTGATATTTCCATGTTGTGAGAAAATGTGAATGTGAATGAAGTTATAAGATATTGAACTTTTATTAAGCACAATCTAATTTAACAAGTTTTCTATTGCCAAAGCTTGTTGGGTGAAATTCTAGGACTTACATTGTGTAATCATTGAGATAGAAATTGAATTGGTCAAACTGTCACATCTTATCCCACAATGAGGACCTACTTTTTGCAATCCTAAAATGTTCATGCATTTCAAGACTCATGGGACTCATGAGTCAACAGGTAAAATGTCCCTGCAACTAGAACAGCATGTACACTGTCAGACAGCAGCATCCAGGGCAGTGCTGTGCACTTAAGGAAATGGCTGAACACTAAACCAGTTCTCATGGTAATGGTAGCCCTACATCATTAATTTATAATCTGTTATTTAGGATGCTAGGGTCAGACTCAACTCATCTTTACCCAGTGAGATTACACTGTGCCCATTAATACCAGGGCCTCTGCTGTCCAATAATGTATAAACCAATTTACCAGAAAAAATATGCATAAATGTACTGCCATGTTCTTTTTTAAAGAACTTTAAACATATTTTAGGGCCAGAAAAAGGAAGACATTAAGAGAATCAAAGAAATAAAAGGATGGAGAAGGAAAGACAGAAAGGGTCACTCACTTCCTGATGAGGAAGATGGGCGTCGCTGGTTGGTGGAGGTGCGGATGGCAGATTGATTCTGGTAGATTGGCGTCTCTGGGGGCAATGGAGGAGGTGGAGGGGGTGTTGGTGTTGGGTTGCCTGGGGGAAGAGGGGGCGGAGGTGGAGGAAGTGGGGGGGCGACCGAGTCCTCTGTCGTGCCATTCTCAGAGCTGTGGGCAGGGTTGTCGGTAGGCTCCTCCAATAACATGGAGCCCTGTTAGGAGAAGGAGGGACAGAGCAGAATTAGTCATTCATATTTTATACTCATTAACTTGTTGTTTCACCTAGCAACCACATTGTTATATTACACTGATGGCCAATATTTGGTCACTGATAACAGGGATGTGACAGGTGGCCCATGAAATGATATTGTCCACTTAAACAAAACTTTTTTCTTGCCTCTGGAAAGGAGTATGATTTTTGCATTCCATTTGCCGGCTGTATATTCATAAAACATAATAACAAAAATTTATAAACAAGCACATTAAACAATTATTAATCTGCTTCTTCAAAATAACACCTTTATTTATTTATTCATTGAAAATATTCAATTAAAGACAAAACACTAACAGTGCATTTGTTTTCCCTGCTTGCATAGGCATGCCAGTTGAAAAGCCTGCTGGGCTATGGCTGAATTCTTGCACAGAGACTGTTGACAGTGACAGATGTATGCAGCCCTATTAAATGTGTCCTCCCTCTGCTTCCTGACGTCTTTAATCAACTCATGAAGACATAATACCCTATTGCCAATAACAGAGCTAACATGACCTAATCTCTAGGGGGGAACTCTGAGGGAAAACAGTGGGAAGAAGCCATCTGTCACTGCAAGTGATAGTGCTTTAACCCCCACGCCTCCCCAGCACGCACTGAAAGCGTGCCATAACTCTGCTTTAATTAATGGACCATGACCTTTACCTCGACCCCGCCCCTCCTTTATTCTTCAGACGCGTGCTCATCATTGTTGCCCACTTTATTTTTCAAACCCCTCAGAGAGTTGGGGGGAGGGCTGTGTCCAGATGGGTCTCGGCAGCACGTGCCGTTGCTCCCGTTGATTAGCCGGTCCATCTGCTAGGGTGCCTCTGAGACCAGAAGGGGCCCCGCTGAGGCCTTAATTGGCTCAATTTGGTTTGTACCCCATATCACCCAGAACACCCCCACTCCTGATACCCATGAGATTATAAGGATACCTCTCCTGGGACATTATTGAGTCCAACAGATTCTATTCATTCAGCTGCCTGTGCAGATATGTGGCAGCAAACAGGTAGTTTAACCAATAATCTTGGGTGAGCACACGCAGTCACAGACAGAAATCTTCCTTGATAATTTTTTTTTAGGGCAAATGCGTTTTCACTTATAATCTAGCATCTAAAATATATTTACTTATGCAAACCTTTTGTGAAACAACATGTTTGTAGGTTAACCTCTGGTGGCAAACAAAAGCTCAAAGGGAAACAAGATTATGTAACATGCTGAGGAGCACAATGCACAGGCAAATAGTGCAGTCACTGTTGTAACCCAATGCCAATACACCATCACCTATGTAAACCTCACCCTATAGAAAACCTTATAAGGGACTGAGATGCCCACACAAGCCTTATTGATACAGGGCAGCGTGTATTAAACATTTACCAAATCTTTAAAAAGATTTTAAAAAGGCCATATACAAGCAATACATTATATAATTTATCTTATTGTGTAGTCATTTAAATAAAAATGATTACTTCATCAAAAGGACTTCATAACCTAGGTGACCTAGTTCTGAGAGATTATTTCCCAGTGGATATCAGATGATTGGCAGTAACCACAGTGTTTCCTCATGACTAACATCCATCCATCCATCCATCGTCAACCGCTTATCCTGCATACAGGGTCGCGGGGGGGCTGGAGCCAATCTCAGCAGACATCGGGCGCAAGGCGGGGTACACCCTGGACAGGTCGCCAGTCTCATGACTAACATGTTTTTTTTAATAATACAAATGAAAAAAATTAAGCAAATGCAATCTTAAGGAAAAAAAAAAGCTAAGCCATGATTTCTCAATATGTTATGTGTAATCTAATAAACAATTTCTAATGGTTGCATTTTCCATTCAGCTCTTTTTGGTTTGTGGTAATTAAGGTAGGTATAGGGAAATACTTACCCACTGTTTTGGTAACCTTTCCACACATAGCATTTTGAAATATTGCTAGGCAAATACATCAAGTGTACATCAAGTACATCAATCACAAGATGGTGGACATACATATACGTAATTTAATGAACCGGATGATGTGTGATGTTGTCTCAACATTGAGAATACCGTTAAACTTCAGTTAAAAGCCTAGTCCCAATTAGACGCCTGTCCCTTTTACTAGCCTGGTGTGGCTACACGTTTTGACAAATAAAAACAGGTCTAAATTGGACGCCTGGTCTGTTTTTATAGAAGTTTGGATGTATAAAACCTCTTAAAGCTCACCGGGTCACCTGCCTAAGCTGGTCCCAAGCTGCTTAAAAGTTTAAACTTTTGTCAATATGGACAAATGAAAAAATGAGCTCCAAAGTATTATTCATTCAGATTTACCTACACAGTAAAGGAATTAAAGGCCTGTCCCGTATAGATACATGTCCCAAATACAGGCAGGGTGAGTTTACTGATTTAAACAAATAAAAGCCCGGGCTATTTATTGAAGTTTTATGGTACTGATGTCATAAACAGCAGAGATCTGAATTACCTCCTCGTTGGGCGCCATGCCTTTGCTCCCTCTGGGCTCGGCTGTGTCGCTGCCCAAGTCCTTGTAGTAGTCCCCAGTGCTGGGCTGCTTGCTGAAGCTCCTTGACCTCCTGTTTGAATCCACACGCCGTAGTTTGTCGTGGGCTTCTCCAGGACTCAACTGTTTCAAGGGATGAAAAAGTTTGAGTGAGAAAAATAAACGGTTCAATATACTTTTTGGTTTAACCTACCCATTAGCATCAATCTGCATCTTTTTCAAAATGTTGTTATTAGCACAAAACTGATCCCATATAGACAGAAAAGAGGTTTTTAAGAGAATTACATATTGCCATATTTTTGAATGTGTGAATAAAATTAAAGCTGAAATTAAAAGTTGATTCCTCTATTAGTCAATTTAGGTGAATTGTGCTTTTTCATGTTTGAATTACCAAACAATCCCTGCTGCCAGCTTGTTACATGTGTGGATTTGCTGCAATATTTTGTCGTACATGATAGGAAATAGAATATATTTGGGTTTTGGATTGTTGGTCAGAAAAAACAAGCAATTTGGAGAAGTCAGCATGGGCTCTCACTATTTACTGGTATTTTACAGAAAAATTAACGAATCAATGAATAAACAATTGGGAAATTGTTATAATATGGCTAAACAGTGCTTATGGAATGAGCTTGTACTCTGTGGGATTCCACACTGTACGACATACCTTAGTAGATTTTGTTGCCAGATTAGCTCTCTCATGTGACCAAAGTGGCCTTATTTGAATGACAGAACAAGGCCTCAGTTCAGTTCGACTGAAACATTAGCATTTATGTTTCATGTAAAGACTGCAGGGTGGGTCACACAACACAAGAGTTCGCATGCAGCTTTTGCACCAATGTTATAAAGACCTTTGTGTCCACAGGGCAGGGTCATAGGTCTTTGAGTTGAGCACTCTCACTTTCTGCTCTGAAAATTATCCTAGACAAACTGGAGCTGTACAGGATACTTCACCCCTTTCCATCTGAGAGTCTTCACTGTTTGCTGCTATTAGAATGTACGTTGGTCAGACTATGCATTTCAAAGCAACCATACATTAGCAGTAGATAAGCTCACCTTGCATTTTGAGCAGCTATAATGAATGCATTTTCCTAATACAAAAAAGCCTTGCATTTGCATTCAGCACTTGGCTCAATAAACGCATTAATTCATTTACTTTTTTCCAACAACGTAAATGGCATATGTGGAAGGCTTTTTGTTTTATATTTTCAACAATTAACCTTGAAAGCTGTCAGCTACAAGCATGCCTTAGCCGTGACACCAATAGAGTTACTTTGCCTTTCAAATTCAGGGTTTGGCATCATTTACATTTTATTGCTGACAGACACAATGACTTCTCACGAAATCCAGACTAGAGCCTTAGACATCAAGCAGATGTCCATTGTTAAAGTAAGCGAAAATAATTTACAGCTGACCCCTGACCTCTCCTCCTTTGGTGTCATGTTCTTGCCTGTTTAGTTGTGTTGACTCATGTCTGCTGTCAAAGAAATGGTCCCTGAGCACTCATCAGGTGGCACAGTAATGTGAGCAGGGGGGCGCTACAGATGGTTTGATTGTCATCCTCCAGGGAGGTGGGCCAACAATAGCAAATGTACAAAGCATTTCAGCCCCCCCCTCCCATCCCTCACACAAACGCACACTTAGACAGACAGCCTTTCTTCCCATTATATGGATCTGTCTGTCAGCATAAAGTCATTATTATATAATTGTTTTTATAGTCGTGTTTTTGTTGACTTTATCAATAGTTGTTTAGCCTGGTTGTAGTTTGTGTCATTTCAATATGAGTACAAAGTTACATGCATACTTTAGAACAACCTTTTATGACAGAAAGAAAAAGGAGAGTACACAATAAAAACATGACAACATGAGTCCAACAAGTCCAACCATATTATAGCTCGAACAGCTCCAGAACATGGAGATTAGCCAAAATACACAAAGCAACTTGGAATATCTTTGCTCTGATCTGAAGCCCAAACTTTTACATGACATCACTTTTGCCACTGGTAAAAAAAAAAGCTTTCTAACCCCTCTTAACCCCTTACCTTAGCATTAAGAATCCTCTCCTGCAGTTCTCTTCCAGTCTGGAGAGAGGCTCATCCACCAAGCTCAGCACAGACAGTAACTGTCACCAAATCCAGAGCGTCTCCTCCTCTCCGCTCAGCGCTATGCCTGTCACTCTACCTGCGCTCTCAATTTACCCACAGGCTTCATCAATAACCTAACCGGCCAGCCACAGTAATAGCAATGATGTCACCACCAGCCCACAGATCAACCACTCCCCAAACCTGCCTCTTATGTAAAACACAAAAGCCCAGGTGCTGCCTTCATCATGGCCAACCTTCCTCAAATCTCTTACACTTTAAGAGTATTAGATTATTATGGCCTTCAGTGCCCCGAATTAGCAACAAAACATTGCAGAAACTACTCTAATCGTGGGTGTGATCTCAAAGTGCAAGTTTTCTGGAGGGGCTACAGTAGGTCTAAAGAATCAAAAACGTGACAGGCAAATGTTTCGTGCCGGGGCAACATTTGACTTCAGTCAAAGCAAATACAGACAAATGAGGTGAGAGCAGCACATAAGGCCTATGTAGTGATAAAAACAACTCACATCTGCATTCACCAGGTTTCCTACTACTATTGGCCCTGGTGTCCCTGGATAAGGTTACTGTTCCTTGTCACTATGGCGTCCAAGGTAGATTGTTTTTCCCAATGTATATTGTATCCACTGATCTTTGTTGTGGGCGTTTGTGTGCATGTGTTCCAAGCACTGATAAATTCCCCAGGGCAGGACCCAGCCCAGTTCCTGAACTTTATAACAGCTACCAACAACTGACTTTGCATAGCAGATCTTTACACACAGTCTGAACAATTGATTGGTCCCACAATTCTGCTGGTTCTGCAACTCCTTGAGTTTTTTATTGTACTTCTGCTTTTAGATGAAACATTACAGCACTGACAACCATTCATTTGGCTGATTTAGAGGTGTGCCATTCCACAATTACTATGCAAGATTAAAACATTATTTCACTGAATATTTTTCTTCTCCTTTAATTTCAGAAATGAATAAAATAAAGACTAAAACAATAGATATTTGAAAAAATAGCAAAGGAATATCACATTTGTAGTGTTTGGTTGAAGCTAAAGTTCAAAAAAGTTTGTTCATAGGACTGGATAGACCTGGTGTCTCACTATCATACTGGAAGACATAGTAACAATCGGGAATTAAATTCTTCATGAGGTGAAAGTGATCTCTCAGACTGGTTATCTTCTGTCATTACAATCACGATAAAATAAGGCCACGTAATTACAATGATTTCCGGACAACTCATTTACAATTCAAGTAGAGTAACAACATGCCAACCAGTGCACTTCGCAACAGTACTGAACTACCAGAATCATAACTGAAAGTGTTGATGCCAGTTTTAATTGCTTCTCCTTGTCAGCTCTTTAAACACACCTTTGAATGATGTGAAGCCAGACTAATTACTGGAATTAAGATCAAACCCATCACAACAACCACTGTGTGTCAACCCAGAGGACCTGCCACAGTAATGAGCATCTTTGTTAGCCTCGTTAGCCGTGCTAGCACAATAACATCATTGTGGGCAACCAGACAAGGCACATTGTTACACAAGCGGAACATCGCAACTGATTAGACACAAGAGAAAATAGCAGCTAATGGCCAATTTATCCCAAACATCGTGGTCCTCCTACTTCTTTAGGACTGTTCCATATAGTTCATCATGCCACAGGCTCATTAAAACAGCTTCATCTTTTGCTCAAGCAGGAGCTTACCACGTCTTACCTCCATATTGCCAGTGCTGTTTTCCACGTGCCTTAAGTTGCTTTTCACCTTCAAGAACTCAGCTGACAACGGCTCCTGAGGGGGCTGTGGTGCTGGGTAGCTTGGGGGTGGCGGGGGCTCCGGGGGAGACTGTGGGGGAGGTGGGGGTGGATAGGTTGGTGGTGGCGGGAGCTTGGAGGGGGCATCAGCAGGTATCTCATTCTTCTTGAGCAAGTCAGAGCCAATGTCTGGATTTAGCATGTCCATATACGCCTGCATGTCTGAAATGGCTGACTCTGATGCACCTGTGACAAAGACACGGCCCACGTAGGCAGGTTTAATGTAGACTTACTGAGTTTCTCACAGGAACCCACACATGGTGTATTGCTGATTTAAATGTACAACACAAAGCATTAAGTCAACCTTTCAACATTTATTCAATTGTTACACCATTCAAAAATGAATGAGACACATGAGTTACTCTACTGATGGTCGACCTCTCCATCCATAACAAACTATCTAAACACAGACCACTAGGGTGCAGCACCAGTTTACCATGCACCAATGACATGAAACAAAAGGAACCAAACTGCTGCATGATGTTAGCTTCAGTAAATAGCACTGTTTCATTGCTGAGATACTGTATTTGGCAAGGTTTTATTAATAACTGACAAAAGACAGCAAACCTTATTTCACCGTAAAGTGTTATTATGAGCTGATAAAAAATTTATTTTACTGTTGAGCTCATCAGCTGTTGATATTTCAATTTAAAACAGATTAGGACATTATTTAGAATTAATTCATATTAAAGATGTCTTTAAAAGTATATTTCTAGTCACCTCCTTGGTTCACCTTAGAAAACAAAATTCTAGTCTAGAGCATAAAGTTTATTAAAGCTTATTAGCTTTACTACATGTATTGCATACCTGTGTGTGCGACTGTGTTCAGCTGAGCAGGTGGGCCTCGTGACGTTGTTAAGCTGCTCCGTTTCTCCCCAGTGCTGGACTGGCTGGAGTTGGCTGAGTCGTAGTTGGACAGGGAGCTGGATGGTGAACTGATATCAAATTGTGCTGCCTGGCTGGCTGGGGGCATGGTGGTGTTTGGGGACGAGAGGCCAGAGTCCTGCTGCTTGTACTCGAGGTCCACCGAGGGGTCCCGAGACAAAACACGGTGCTCCACACTCTGTCAGAGGTATAAAGAAGTATATCTGTTTTGATGAATAACAATCATATTAATCTATATCTATTATCTATCAATTCGTTCTTATATAATTTCTCATTATTAAAACATGTTTGCTTAATTTAAATTGGATGTAAAGGGGTTCAGTGTCATTACACAAGACACAGTCGATCTCAGTCCCTGTTGACTTACATGAGGAGAACGGAATTACAAGTTTAATTACTGCACACTAATGAAATATCTCACAGCTGATCAAAAAGGCTCTGGGGCCCTCTGCTTTTCCCACAGTGCAGGACTCAGCTGGCTGAATGTCCCTAATGGGAAGAGTACAAGAGGGGGGAAATATGTTTCCCACACACCAAAGAGAGTTCGGTGTGGGGGAGTTATTATTCTTCTGGCCACTTGGGGTTTTCAGTGGGGTGAAGCCGTGGAGGCCACTGTAAGGTAAGTGTTAATAGCTCTCGTAATTAGCAGAGATAAACTAATGTCAGTCAAGGGACATGTTGGCTCAGGGAAAGCAGCAATGTGCACAGTCTTGTGTTTGCCAAGGTTGCATTTTGACTATGCGGACCACCTTAGCACGAAATTACAACTATTAATTATTATGAATATTTAAAATCAAATTTATGACTAATATTACGCAGAATATAGACTACATGTAGCCACTATAGCAGAGATCATAATTCATTATAATTTCTTGCAGAGGATGATGAGGTGGAAGTTTGGCATTTGTGCTACTAATAGAAAAAAACCGCAACAGTTCGGATGTGTCCTTCATGAATGTTCTCTGTCTAGAGAAAATGTACTGTATGTTTTTTCCTTTTGAGAGTAGAGCTCCCATTGGACCAATTAGTGCTCCAAAATGCAAAAAACACATCGGTAAGACATATGTCTCCAAGTTTGATGAGAAATCAGCAGTGTCCAAGATACTGTATAATCATCCCAGGATGGGAACCACTGGAGGTTGCAGGTCGGGTGATTTTTTTAAATGGCAAGTAGCATATCATTCAGTTAAGTTTTTGGAAAATCCAATCAGTGTGAGATATTGTTCATGATGTGAAAATAATTAAATGTTAAATTGTCATTAATTTTGATATTATTCGATATAAAAGTATTTGGGGAACCTCCATTGATTTAATAAAAATCCTGCTGTAATCACAGATTAATTCATAACTTTCTTAAGTAGATAGGATAAACTACATCTATGTTTTTTCTTACGGTCTATTTCTTAAACACGATTCAAAGTTTGTGTACATTAAAATACGTTGATCCTCACAGATAAATTGACTCTAGGTTTGGCCCCTGGCCACAGGGAGGTCAGGATGCATGGCAGCCAGATATGGTGGGCACAGCTGTGTCTCTTACCATGTTCTCTACAGTGCGCAGATACTTGGCACACTGGGAGTGGCCGTTGTATTCGGCCAGGTCTGCTGCTGTGAAGCCGTCCTGGTCCCTGATGCCCAGGTCCACACCATTGACCACAAGGATCTGACAGCACTGGAGAGTGGCATGAGAGAGGCAGAGGACAGAAGAAACACAGAAAGTGGATGAAGTCAGATAACACCTGATTCTTCAATGAACATCATTCACCATAATTTATAGATGTACGGACACAGTCTTGCTCATAAGTTACTAACACAGATAACGGGAAATTAAATATCCTTCCTTCCTGATTACTTTATATCTAAAGCAGAATGGTTAGTGTATGGTTGATATGCTGTACTTTAATATATAGAAATCAAAAGAAACTTAAATAGTTCAAAGCATCTGTCTTTTACCACCGTGTCAAGTGCCAGGTGGAAGCCAGACTAAACCTGTTGTTCTCAGACTGAGCAAGATTTCTGTTGTCGTATTGACTCATGTTTCACTTTCTTAACAATGTTCTCTACAGTCCAGTCTTGGGCCAGCACCCTGTAAGTCAGGGTTGGGGTCAATGTCAAACCCTTCTTATGCATATATATCAGACATAAAGAGCAATGTTCTCTACATTTAATACATGAAGCTTGTGCTGAAACAGCTGACTGACCAAACATGATAAAACAAAATGTTAGTCAAAGTAGTAGGTCAGAGTGGTGGTAAAACCATAAGCTAGAGGGAATTCATTCAAAACAGATGGTTAAGTGTGAAACTCAATATGGATATGTGAGCACTGAAAATCATAATGCTTCTACATAACTTATATGAATATTGTTTACACAAAGTTAAGCTAAATAATCTCTGCAATTGCTTGTACTGAAAAGGATCAGGACAGCCTTTACATTTTAATATTAAAATGCCACTATGTTACATTTCTACTGTATTAATCAACTTTTGAGGTATAACTGGCAAACTTTAAAAAACTGGAGACTGGTATGATAATGAGCAATAATTAAGTAAAAGAAATAAGACACAAACACACACCTCTAGTTCCCCGTTCTCTGCAGCGTCGTGAAGTGGGGTCCCTCCCCAGTTGTCAGTGACAATCTCTCCGCCGTGCAGCAGAAGCCAGCTGAGCACCTTGGTGTGGCCGCGACTGGCTGCAAAGTGCATGGCCGTAGCCCCGTCACTATCCCGGTCTGTCAGGCTGATCTCTGTGAAACTCGTCTGATGGAGGGAGGATAATGACACAAGCTACAGTCATCTGCTAAAACTTAAATAATTAATGAAAGCTTCTTTTGGGGAAGAAGTTAGGGAAAATTTGTAAAAATAGTAAAAACCTGGTCAGGGGGTAAGGTTTTATATAAATTTGTTGAACAAATGATAAAGCAGTAAAAGTAGCAATTCTAAATATATACACACTACTCTATAAATTTTTTGGATTTCAGACAATCAAAAAAGTTCAATCATGATACAACAAAGTTCTTCTGGTGTTAACAAAGAGACATTTTGGATATGAAATACAGTGTTGACTCAGACTAGAAGTCAAATTATCAATCAGTAATATTTATACAAAAATTATCAAACATTAATTTGCCTGATCACAGACATCTGTGAGTTCATTTTTTACATTTTTTACATTGTCTGTGAACCAGACATTTAGTTTTTAATAAATGGAATAGATATATAACAAAGCATTAAGTATGGGGTGCGAATCTAGGAATAAATCGATGTACACGAACTTTGTTTACAAAATATGATCTAAAGTGTCCTGACATTCCAACATACCAGCCAGACGATGACAGTGTTGTGGCCCATCTGGGCAGCCGCATGCAGAGGTGTCATCCCATCATTGGCTCTCATGCTCGGATCCGCCCCACAATCCTTGACCAGGTATTGGACGACCTCCAAATGTCCCTCCTGGCAGGCTAGGTAGAGCGGAGTGGCACCATTCTTAGTTTGGGAGTTGACAAAGCTGTAGGGAAATTAAGCAGTAAGGTAAATAAAGGGACACGTAGAGACCAAATTTCTCTTATGGAGGATGTGTGTTTCAGCCTGTGCTTCCTTAATCACTGAAACCTAAGTGGTTGAGCAGAAACAGAATAGGATATCTGCTGACACCCAGAAATAGTTATTTTCATAAGCAGCCAATACACTAATTGTGTACCCTTCAGACACTGCAGAAAAATGTTTTGCGTTTCAGATTTATCTGAAAGGTTGCATGTGTAAAATGTTGTCTAAAGATAAGAGGTAATTGTAACTGGAAAACATCCCTTTGTCAGTGTCAACATACAGCTATTTTCAGAGCAGACGGCAGTGACGCCGAGCCAAATCCAACTCCCTTCCCTTCCGAATGCCCTTAGCCCCACCCCTCCCATGCAACAAGCTCATTCAATGTCTGCATCCCTCCTCGTCCCAGATCTTTTCAGTCACAGCGGGAGGTCAGGGAGTGAACAAGTGCTTTCCCACTAAATCCCATAAGTTTGTGCTTTATTTGGATGCGGACAAATGAGCAGTGAGTCTCCTAAGAGGATTATCACTCCACTGGCTTTGCCCGACTTTGCTTTGTGCTTAACGAAGCGTTGCCAGTTGCTGTGACAGACAGAGTGGGTGAAGAGGAGTAGAGAAGGTGAGAGAAATGAGAGGCAAGGCTCAAGGGGAGGGGTGGATCTTGTAGATACAAACATGACCCTGTCAAACTTTCCCTCAAAAGGATGCGGCTCAAGGCCAAAACTCCGGAGACTAAAGACCCTGCATTAAGACAACATGTGGATGACAACGTGTTCATGACCAAATCTTAACATGCAAGGCTGTATCTGCTTATGATCATTCTAGTATTGTAATATTATATGGTCTATCCTGAGCCAAAAAAGAGATACACATTCTTCAAATAACGTCTATGGAAATTGTAAGCACACCAAATACACTAACTCGAACATATGTCTATCTTGAGGCACAGGCTCGTCTTTCAGGAAAATTGTTAGAATAAGCAAAGGAAGTGTAGGTGATCGAGGGAAAATTTCCAAGTAAAAACAAGCACCTCTTAAATTTTTCAAAATAAGAAAGGGAAGTAATCTGCGGTTCTGTTATCAGGAAGTGGGAATACAGGTTAATTATTCATTAGTGTAACCAAAGTGGGCAGAAGTTCACCTGCTCATCGGGGCCTGTGTAAGAGAGAAACCTATATTTGTCATTAATCCTAACCACTTCGCAAGAGTGACAAAGTTGAGTGTATTTGAGGTAAGACAGATACGAGTCTAACAAAGCACACATTGCCTTTGTCACAACTCTCCCTTGCGAAGAGGCTTGAACACTCCACTAAAGAAGTGCTTTTGGAGAACAGGTATAGATTTCAAAGAGCTAAGAAAGAGGTTAGCCTTGTGTGACGACAAAGCTAGCAAGTGGCACAAGGGGCCACCTACCTCGTCAGTCACTCAGATGAGAGAAAACACTCTTTAAAGTATAGGAGATATTTGATATATTTCCAGTTCAGCTCTGATGACTACTTTACCTCAGTAATTGTCTGTGTACTGTCCCCTCCCCCCAAGTACACTGTTACAAAAACCAAGGTTATCTTCATTACTAGGAAAGTAATTGATGTCGCACTAATGGTCTTCTTGCCTGATAAAGGCTAGTTAGCTTCTCAATGGCTAATGGCTTTTCCTGTCTAAATAATAAAGAATGTTGTGAAAGAAAGTATGCACTTGACTAGAGTTTCTTGTGTATGACATTGTATCAAGGAAATCTACTGATTACATAAAACACAGCTCTTATCTATATCTTCTTTTAGATGCTGCAGCTATTGACAACAGAGCCCCAAAAGAGAACAACAAAATTAAAACACAGACAAGAAAGCTCTAGGGACAAATATTTGATGTGGTCCTACATGAGTTGAACACTTCAAATGTTTAGGGTATTTTTCCTACTGAAGCAAAAACATCCTTGTGTTCACCACAGTACCCACGCATATTGCCAGTTGATCTAGGGAATTGAATTTTGAAATCTGTGGAGGAGCTTGAAATCCTTCCCTTACAGAATTGTACATCTAAGTTTTAACTTGATAACAACTTAAGTATTACAACTGTACACGCTTACAAAATGTACAGTTGTAACAGTGTGGGCCCTTTGCCCAAATGTTTCTGAAAATGGCATGTTATAGCATTTTCTCAGTTTAAACCTCTTGTTTTAAAAAACGGAACAGAGAGGGTTGTTTTCCAACTTGTACCAAGAAGTTATTAAGAAGATTAGTGCTGAAGAAAATAAGTGCAGTGAAAAACTCTATTCACCTATTTAACCCTTGCTCTCCATGTCTAAACTTAATGCTGTACCCTACCTGACTTAAAGGTACCACAGAATGGAAAACTGTATTTCCCTTGGCATAGTTGAATAAAAAAGAGTGCAGTACATGTAACTGATATACCGTGAGCCTGAATATCCATTGTTTGCTCCTTCATATCTAAATCTTGTGCATGCAAAACACCCTGGAAAAATGAGCAAATGCCAACAAGAGCTAGATGTTTTGTAACATCTGGGATGTTTACAGCTCCAAAGTTACATAGACCAGCCCATGTTCCAGAGTTAGCGGTCATACAAGCTCATGGAGCCACAGCTGTATGTTGTGCAGTGCAGTCTCACAGAAAGTGCTTTTAAGGAAAGGTAAATATTTCCCTCTGATGTCCTCTAGCTGCTCTTACTCAACTCTGTGATTTATAAATTTCCTAATGGACAGATAGCTTTTCCTTGTTGCTAACGCTACAGGTTGCTAACCACTAGCTGCTGCTAACAGTAGCTTCTGTTATGATGTTTATGATGATGTTAGAGGTGTGTAACGTTACACCAACACACCCCAGGCCAAGCTTCCAGTCCAGACAGAATCAGCAATAGGATGGCTAGCTGCAGTGCTAACTGAGTTATCAGCAGCTGCTGATAGCAGTAGTTAGCTGCTAAAGTAACCTGTAACATTTAAACTATATTTTCTCAATATTTTCTCCATCACTTTTGATCCAGTTTCAGTAAAATCGGCCAGCAGCTAGGCCCTGCTCCTCGGTTGTGCTTGTGATAGTTAGCCAATCAGAAGCCAGTGGATGTTCTGGGAGGTGGGGCTTAAAGAGACAGGAGCTAAAACATATTCAGATAGAGGGTGAAAAGAGGTGCTGAAGCAGTGGACAGTATGAGAAATATAATATACAGGTGAAACTCGAAAAATTAGCATATCGTGCAAAAGTTCATTTATTTCAGTAATTCAACTTAATAGGTGAAACTAATATATTATATAGACTCATTACATGCAAAGTGAGATATTTCAAGCTTTTATTTGATATAATTTCGATGATCATTGCGTACAGCTTATGAAAACCCCAAATTCAAAATCTCAGAAAATTAGAATATTACATGAAATCAATAAAAAAAATGGATTTTAAATAAAGAAATGTCAGCCCTCTGAAAAGTATAATCATGCATATGTACTCAGTACTTGGTTTGGGCCCCTTTTGCATGAAGTACTGCCTCAGAGCGGCATGGCATGGATGCTATCAGCCTGTGGCACTGCTGAGGTGTTATGGAAGACCAGGATGCTACAATAGCGGCCTTCAGCTCTTCTGCATTGTTCGGTCTCATGTCTTTCATCTTTCTCTTGGCAATGCCCCATAGATTCTCTATGGGGTTCAGGTCAGACGAGTTTGCTGGCCGATCAAGCACAGTAATCCCATGGTCATTGAACCAGGTTTTGGTACTTTTGGCAGTGTGGGCAGGTGCCAAGTCCTGAAGTCAGCATCTCCATAAAGCTCGTTCGCCGAAGGAAGCATAAAGTGCTCTAAAATGTCCTGGTAGACGGCTTCGCTGACTCTGGACTTAATAAAGCACAGTGGACCAACACCAGCAGATGACATGGCTCCCCAAACCAACACAGACTGTGGAAACTTCACACTGGACTTCAGGCATCTTGGATTGTGTGCCTCTCCATTCTTCCTCCAGACTCTGGGACCTTGGTTTCCAAATGAGATGCAAAATTTGCTCTCATCAGAAAAGAGGACTTTGGACCACTGAGAAATAGACCAGTTCTTTTTTTCTTTAGCCCAGGTAAGACGCGTCTGATGTTGTTTGTTGTTCAGGAGCGGCTTGACAAGACAAATACGACATTTGAAGCCCATGTCCAGGACCCGTCTGTGTGTGGTGGCTCTTGATGCAGTAACTCCAGCCTCAGTCTGCTCCTTGTGAAGCTCCCCCACACATTTGAATGGCAATCCTGACCATTCAAATGTGACGATCCTCTCCAGGCTACGGTCATCCCTGCTGCTTGTGCACCTTTTTCTTCCAAACTTTCCCCTTACACTTAACTTTCTATTAATGTGCCTTGATACAGCACTTTGAGAACATCCAACTTCTTTTGCAATTACCTTTTGAGGCTTTCCCTCCTTGTGGAGGGTGTCAATGATGGTTTTCTGCACAACTATCAGGTCAGCATTTTTGAACATTAAAGCATGTAAACATTTTCTATTAGAAACCCTAAATACAAGTATGAAAATAAGTATTTTAAGGCACATTTAAGAAGTAACCACTCAAAAGCTTGAAAAAGAACTAACTCGACCTCTTTTTGAGCTGCTACATAGATACACTATGAGCATCAGGCTGACTTTTTGTTATTAGTTTATTACTCATATCTTATTGAAATTGTACTTGACTTTTCTGTCTTTTCTCATATATGCTAGCACAGCTACTTGGATACAGGGTGAACTCCTGCCTCATTTTGGAACAAGATCTTTTTTCTGAGGTAAGAATATAAATGTCAGTATAAAATGTATAGTATACTGGACTGTATGATCCATTTGAGTTATAAACTACATTTTCATGTTTGAGCAAGTGTTTTGTAAATGAGAGAAGTTGGAAAAGACTAAATAAGAAATTAGAAGATTGGTGATTTTCCTGTGAGTCCACCTTACTGTATGTGTTTTCAGCAGGAGGTTTAGACTGACTAACTTTCTAGAATATCCTAATGCAGAGGTCTACCCTTCTCAACTGCATGTTGGAATTGTGGTTTGACCAAAGATCTTAATCTGCACTAATTGGTTGCATAACCTGTCTGTAGCCTCTCTCTCGCTCCTCTTTCTCTCTCACCCGCTCTCATTCAGTCTTTTGTGTACAGAGGCTATCAGCAGAGACACAGCACATAAGCCTGTTGGTTTTGGTTCTCTGGGATGGACGTGCAAACGAGCTACCAATGCAGATGTAGCTTATAAATCTAACAAACAATAAAATATCGGGAAACAAAAAGCCACATGCAATTGAGTTTTTTTTGCAGACAGATGAATACTGCAGTAATTTCATGGTAATTTTACTATTACAGTACCTGAGCACAGGGGACTTTTGACCTGTGCACATGTCTTTCACAGAAACCTTATCTGTTGTGTTTCACATTTGTAATAGCTTTATCTAAATACAAACCTATACTACAACTATACTACACAAGTAAAAAAAATACCTGCGCAATCATCTCAGTGGGTACTGCAAATACGGTTAAACCAATAATGGTAATTTTGTACAGATTTTTGTTCTTACCCAACTAATAAATAGATGTGGTAGTTGTAGTTTTACATGTGAGTTTCAGTGGGTGGTTATAGTAATGACATTTAGGGGGAAATGCATTTCCTGTCAGGGGACTGGGTAAAGACATAGATATGAAATAGAAATAAAAGTCAGTTTTGTTCAAAGCCTAGGTGCTATAGGTCTTTTGTAGAGGTTGTTCAGGGTCTTGAGGCTGTGTTGATGTTAACAGTGTGAAATATAACTTTAAACCATTGGTGTAGTGTAATATTGCAATGTGAAAATGCAACAAAAGACTTCAAATGTAGCTGGTGTTTGCTACATGTCTCCCACATACCTAGTAGGCTCTATGTACTTTTACCTCTGTGTATCTCGTTATGTTGTACCGTTACTTGGCTCGCAGTTAGTAAAGGGATGATGTAACAGAGGGGGTCATGTTGTCCTTGTGATTTTTCAAGCAGAACAAACGCCGAGCCATCCAATTACCTCTTAAAACTTACAGATATAAATTTGCAGCCTGTAATAAACCCTGAAACAACAATGCTATCTCTCTTTTGCAAAGTTCAATTATAAACAATGCCTGAGGCTAGTGACTAGAAAGCAGCTCGTCTATTCAAACGGATTTGTTTTCCTCATTATCTTATCGCTGGTTGGTGCTACTGTGTGTCGCCGTGGAGATGGTGGTAAATAGCAACAGTGGGAGTGGTGGTGGAGAAGAGTGAATGGGGCCCAGCTATCAGGGAGCTACCATGTCCCTGAGGCTCATTAAATTTTCAGCAGCTACGCACCTGTCTGGGGTGCAACGAACAGTATTGGAGGTGCAGAGCACAAGGTTAGTACCTTGACAAGCTGCTCATCTTGCTAAGGTCATCAAAGCTAAAGCAGACAAGGCTGTTTAGCTTAGAGACTAGCTGTGAATTCATTAGATTTATATATCTTTATGGCAGCAGTTAGTAAGCATTGTTCATCTTTAGGTTGTCTTATCTATCATAATTTACTTTTTTATTGTTTTATAACCCAACAGGTGTTGCTATCAATAATGCTAAACTAAAAAACAAACAAAACAAGGCCAATCTTCTGCCTACTTAACATTACCCAGAGAGATCTGTTCATGTACTGAATTCACTTTAACAATATTGTAATATCAAACAAACACAATCAGACAACAACTAGAAAGATTAAGTGCCATAACTTGGAGCTAATACCTTCCCTCACAGTAATTATTCCAATGACTTAATAATCACAGTGATCTGATGATTAGACACTACACATTAAAACTGCAGTTTACAATGCCTTTGCTGCATATTTTCTCATATCTCACCTGAGGCTAGGTGTGTATCTAACCGTGGAGCTTTTTCAAGGTACCTTTTCTCTCTCAATACAGTTTTACTAACTTCAGACATTTGGTAGGTTGCATAATAACAGTTGGATACTGGGGCGTTAATGCTGCCAAATCCGCACTTAAATTACATTTAAAAATGGGAGAGCAGTGACCCTAACCCTGCCTCCTTTTTTATCAGATATTACCTACAAATGATCTGGTTGCTGCTTATAAAGAGTCTGTGGTGTTGAGTTGTGCCCTTCCTGTCCCTACAACTCTGTGTGCTCAGTGATGCTTCCCAGTAAAGACAATTCAGTCATTCTAACGCCTCACCCTTGTCTTTTGTGATGTGATGGTCCATATGGGAGGGTATTATCTCTACAGGGCACTGGTGGGTCTGACAATGCACTGATTAGGGATGATCATACACACAAATACACACACTTCTTACTAGAGCCGCAATGACTATTACTGATAACAAAAATATTAGATCATACACTCATTTTATTACTCTGGTGCAGCTGTACAGAATGGAAAATATTCTAGCTAGAGTACCTAAACAGCACACCAGGGTTATGGTAGTGTGCATTATTTTGGGAACGTAAAATCCCTAAGAGGGTTTTTTCTAAATGAGATTTGAACACAAAGTATTTGGATTGCGACACAGGTATCAAACAAGCAAAGTTCTGGTTGCTTCCCACCAGTGCTATAAATACTACCTACAGTATGAGCCCACAGCTGATCTACTGACCAAAACTCTATATCTGGATCTATCTGGATCTATATCAGTCCTGATTTGTTTGGTATGCATCAGAAAAGAGTGAAATTGTTGCAATCTTGTTTATCATTTATCAACGTCAGACTGTTCAAGTGCCAGCAGTCTGAAATCTGAATCTGAGCAGTGGATCTACATCAACCTGTCTCAGTTACAAACACTAGGAGAAAAGTGACCACAGCACACAAAAATAAAAGTTGTCTTTTAAAATCACATTTGCGCTGGAGTCTTCACAGGTGAAGGGGGTGTTGAAGGGCACCAGGTCAAAGAAAGATGGTAGTAGTGAGTAGAGTAGATGAGAGCTTAGTTTTATCCTCTGCATAAGTAATATAAAATAACTTTTATATTGATTTGGCTGTATGTCGTTAAGCTGTTATCTGTTAGACTGTTGCAAAGAAAACACCCGCACACTGTCTAACTTGCAGAAAAAAATTATATATTGACACAACGCTTCAGTGCTAGACCATCTTTTGTAAGAGGTGACTTGTTTTTCTGCACCAATTACTCACTTCCTCATAAAATAAGGCAACCATTACAACACATTCATTCACATTTCCAGTCCTAAAGATCTAGCTTAAGCTTACATATGACTCTCTCTATGGTAACAATACTATATCATTCCAGAGTGATCTATACTAGATGGCTGTAGATTTCTGTATATTGAATGTATACCAAAAATATAATAAAATGCATTCATGGACAGATATGTTCTCAAATCTTGCTGGTAATGTATACATCAATAGATAAATAGAGGAAATAGGATAATAAACACATGTGACCCCACAACAGATTCAAGACAATATTATCATACTTCAATAATTTAAGTGTTAAATAACAATGAAATTTATACAAAAATAGGAAAAGAGAAAAAAACATATGCTTTGTTACTTAAGATTCACCTGAGGGTTTCCCTGTCCAGCCCTAAACAGTCCTGGATACGTATGAATATGCACATATATTATCTGTGTGCTGTTTATTGTGTCCATTTATATATGTATGCACTAATGCTGCAAGTAAATTTTGAGGCCCTGAGTTGATTTTTGCACCTATATAATAATGTGGAGATTTTTAGGCAACATTTATAGTGATGACTTTTGGTAATCTCTTTTCCTATTATTCTATAGATTTTATTCTTATTTAACACTTAAATTATTGAATTATGATATTGTATACAGAAATCTACTTCCATCAAGTATAGATCACTCTGGAACGATATAGTATTGTTACCATAGAGATAGTCATATGTAAGCTTAAACTAGATCTTTATGACTGGAAATGTGAATGACTGTTTTGTAATGGTTGCCTTATTTTATGTGGAAGTGGGTGATTGGTGTAGACAAACAAGTCACCTCCTACAAAAGATTGCCTGACGAAGGTCTAGCACCAAAGCATTGCAACCTTTTGCAAGTTAGACAGTGTGCGGGGGTTTTCTTTGCAACTTAACAGATAACAGCTAAACGACATCCAGCATGACCATCATGAAGTGATACTAGCATTGTATCGTGTGTATTACTAAATATCACACTTTGTTTTAAAAATATTTATATAAAATCTTGTAGAATTACTGTGTGTGTTTTTTGGCACGTGATCAATGACACCTAGCCTGATTTTAGAGATTGTGTTCTTAACAAAAGCATTTTCAATCCCTGTACAAAAGATTAACTTAAACCATATTAAATCACTATTAGACAACAGCAACTTAAGAATCAGAACTGAGGATAAGTTCAGATTTTGAACACAGTGAAAGGAAGCTTAAAGCTGCTGTAAAGACAAAACCATGTTGCTCTTACTTTGGGCTGTGCCCCAGTAACAGTCGGAGAGAGGGCAGGTCTCCCTTGGCAGCAGCATAGTGAACAGGTAGGGCGCCTGTGTCGGTGGAGGCCCCGGGGTCAACCTCACCACACTTCAGCAGCCAGTCAGTGATCTCATGGTGACTGAAGCGGGATGCAAGGTGGAGAACGGTGGCACCAGAACAGTCCCTGTGCTGTTAATCAAACAAAAAAATAAAGCTGAAATGTGCGTTTCTGAAATTAAAATTGTTATTTTCTTTTTCCTTTAAAAAAAGTTAATAATCAAAATAATTTCATGAATTAACTGTTAAATATACAGTACTGTATGTTCCTGTAAAAAACAGCTCATAGTTTGATTCCACATTATGAAATTAGGATTTAAACTATAGTAACATGAAAACTTTTGTATCTTCAACCTGCACTGTTTGGCATCCAGAGACCCCAGCAAAGTCATGTTAGTAAGCTAGCAACCTTTAAGGGAATGGTGCCTCTCTACCAGTTCATTTTATAGAATATATTGTTACTGTATTTTAGTGTTCACTGTTGAAATTAAGTGGATAGAACTCCTTGTGCTGTGTGAGATGAATGCGTCATATATTTTTTCTATACAGTAGGTTAGAATGATTCTGCTGTTAAATTTCGTTCAGTGCTCAAAGCTGTTTATTCTGTGATTTTCTGAAATGCATATAGAGCCTTCACAACTTAAGAGTAGTAGGCATATTTGAGCAAGGAAATAAGTCCTTGCTTAACTTGTGTATAAATGCATACCTTTTTTATGAAAATTGTGCACACACACACACACACACACACACACACACACACACACACACACACACACACACACACACACACACACACCTTCAGGAGAACATTCGTCATGAGAAAACATATATACTGTGCTTCTAACTTGCTGCATTTCTAAGCTGCATGGACTGACAATTGCACTCAAACCTGCAGTATAATCAGCTGAGCTAGAAAAAGAAAATGTGAAAATGTGAAAGGTACCAGATATTACCAAAAACCGGTTGTGACTAAAGTGGTTCAGTTTTCTAAGACTCACAGATCATAGCTTTTGCAACTCTCTCACCAACACTGGCTCAAACAAATTAGGTTACAGATTCCATGTTCCTTTAAAAACGTGTTTACCTGTAACATACTTTTATTCTTTTTGTCAAGAGATGGACCAATAGCTAAGTATTTGCTTGCTCTTTGGATAAATGTGTATTATTACTCAAGTCTTATCAACAAAGAAGCTAAATCTGTATTCTGGGGCAGTGGAGTGCTTCAAATGAACGTCATTAACATAAGGGAAAATCAGGATCAGAATGCAGTAACACAAAGGGAAAAAAAAGTGGAAGTTAGCATTGACCACACATCAAGTAGATTGCACTGCAGGTAGTAATTGATTAAGTAAGTAATTAATTAAGTAAATGAGTAATTAAGGTTTTACTAAATGTCAGCCAAGTATGTCATCAGTTAGACTATGGCATGGGGTGCTCTTTGATGCTCTTCTGCAGTCTGTCAGGTAACCCTGAAGAAATGGAGACAGCACCAAATAGATGATAGAGCTCTTATTACTGTTTCAGATTCAGAATCACATGTTACTATAGGTCAGATCGAGTGCCTGAGTGCCTTTTGTTTGTGTTGTGTTAGTCTAAATCATTTTTGAGGAAGAGAAGACAAAAGATTTGTCAGTGTGGTGACTTAGTCCATTGTTCTCTTGCCTCAGACCAAGAAGGTCAAGGGGACGATTGTGACCGAGCTGGCTGGGTCTTCAACAGTTCAAAAAACATGCAGGTTTGGTGAACTGGAAAATCTAAGTTGGCAGCCATTGTGAAGGTTGTGTCTGCCTCCATGTGATAGACTGGAGACCTTTTCAGGGAGTACTATGCTGGGATACCTAGCAACATACTCTGCATAATATAAGCAGGTATCGAAAATGGATGTCTAGATTATATTGCGCCACTAAAGAGAAACAACGTATTACAGAAAAATACTAGAATTAGAGGCACACCAGACTATAATGGCTACAATGCTGGTAAATATCTGCATCTATAAACTTAGTGGTGCATAAGGGTATACTTCAGAGAACAGTAAAATACAACTGTATTACAGCTTTAACTAAAACTCCTTCAAAATGTCTACTTCATTCCTTCCTTGGTGTGAATATTTGCATCTTACGACCAGCAGCGACATGGAGTCCAAAGATTCAATCATCTATGTGGAGGTTTAACCATTCTCCCTACCAAACATCTTCCCCACAATCATATCAAACTATACTGTCATTATGTTGTTCTGTGCTAATCATAGTTATTGTATGGGCTGAATATACATAAGTATTACATTTGCAAAACCAGTTTTGCATACTTCATTACCATGGGGACATGAGGCACTGAAAGTAAGTCACAAAGAACCAGGGGAATACTCTTAACATTTTCTAATGCCTACCAGTTGACAGTATGTTCGATCTGTTTATGTTTTGTGAGTTAAATTAGATGTCTTTATTGTCTGTTCCTCAGAGTGTTAGCATGTGCTGCCTTTAAATATGTCATCATAAGAGTATAAAGCCTTCAGGCTGTTGTGAATATCTGAGGATCTCTTTTCTTTGGTATATGGAGTGTGTTTTTGAGCCAGACTACCGTGAGATCACCATGTTGTGATGTCTGGTAAGGTCTTGATGCTAAATCTTCGATGAGGTGGATGCCATGAAGTTATCTTTTGTTATCACCAAAACTGTAACTGATCACCAGTCAACTTAAAGGGCAGTGTGGTCTTACAGTTTGGGTACTAGAAGTGAATTAATGGTTATGTTTAAACCATATTTATTGGCCTTGGGGTCAACTGACCACTTGTAGCAGTTCCTCTATAAACTGCAACAAAAACTCCTTGAAAGTGGAGTGGAGTGTGGAGTTTGAATAGAGGGTAATTAAAACATGTTATTTAGTCTCTTAATTACTTATTAAGTGACTAAATAAAACTTATTATTATGGGTTTAGTATCTCATGATAGTCTAAATGTTGGTTCAGAAGCTTTTTCACGACCAGGTGCAAAATCTAATAGAAAACGTGTAGGTTTTGGGCATGAAAACACACTGACATTAGTTCTAACATACCCCAAATCAACTGGACCCCAGTTGGTGAGGTGAAAGAGAGATAGGGCTTTGAAGGTGGCTACACAGCTGAGACATGGCAGCCAGGTCAGAGGAAAGAGAATTAGGCTACTGTCTACACTTCAACGTGTCCAACTAATAGCTCAAGTCACTCACCTCTGGCCGACATCCACCCTGGGTCAGCAGCCACTGTAAGCAGGTCAGGTTGCCGGTGGCTGCTGCGTCATGCGCCGGGCTTGCCCCGTTGTTCGCCAGCGAGTTGCCCGGCAGTCCTGCCTCCTCCACCAGGAAACGCAGGCATGTTAGTTTCCCGGCCCGGGCTGCGTGGTGGACCGGTGAAGCTCCCAGCACATCCTTGACGTCACTGGTGAGCGCTTTAGCCGCTAATTGCACTTTCAGAGTCTGCACGTCCCCTTGCCTCGCGGCGAGCAGCGTCCTGTCCTGCTCCACCACCATGACTGCTCCAGATCGGACAACTCCTGCCTTTGGTTTCCTGCGTTGAGCCCGATCCTTTCACCGTACGGATGGGGTCAGCATTTTAGGCTATTTACAAAGCTTCAGAGCATCTCAGTCTCAGTTAGTTTTGCGGGGAAAGTTCAGTGATCGCCCCACATCAGAGCTAAATGGTCAAAAGCAAGATCCGTTTCCGTTCATACACATTTTAATGTGCGATCCCTTTTTTACATGTTGAAATAAGAACTCAGTCCACTAACGTTATTCTTTATCTGAGTGACACACTGACCAGCTTTCTACGCTTTGCCCGGCGATGTGGCTCAGCTGTCCTCTTGTTTTCTCTCTGGCGCCTCCAGGATGCAGAACACCTGTTGCACAAGTTTGATTTGTTTGTTTTTTTGTGTGTTCCAACTAACTATTTTTTTGTTTAATTTGTTTGTTTACCCTGTTTGCTAGTGTCTATCATGTGCCTCGGAGAATATTCTGCAGTGTTTTTCTTCTTAGAGCAGATGGCGACATGGGACTCAGCGCCTGTTAAATAATCCATCAGGGGGAGGATCGCTGAGCCTGTTACAGGTTGTTGCTTTCTGAAAATCGGCTCAGAAGTTAAAGGGGCAGTACGAACATGCGACTTAAATGTCTGAGTATAGCCCGACAGAGAAAGTTCTACTGTGCTGGGTGTCAATCAAGTAGGCTAGGCATAGGTCCATGGCTAAATACTAATTCAGAAATTGGCTTTTTGAACACACGCCCAGTCTCGTTTGCATGCAGCCTCACCGGTATTAATTTAACATATGGCAGCATCAGCATCACTAGACACCCACAGTTTGCACCCTGTAGAGGTCCATCTGGTGGTCTGTGGGAGAATTGAGCTTCTGATTGTGTCTGTTTAGTGATGATTCTAGAAGTTCAGAATCTTGTTGTGAAGCTATATCCGGTAACAGTTTGATCATCACAATGAACCCCTTATTTAGTTGTCAATATGATGCATTTGCATTTTCTGCTTTTGTGGCTATAATATAAAATATTGTTTTCTTTTTATAGCTACCGATGGAATACGTTTATTCAAAGTATAGTTGTTAGGCTACTTTGCCAAATGAAATATGCTTGTGGTCACAACGAACTTCTAATCATTATGTGGCCTATGCATGTGTGCACTAGAGAACAACATAACATATGCATATCAATTCTGCTAAAAACTTAACAAATTAGATGAATGGGCGACAATGAAAATATTTTAATTGTGGTGGAAAGTAAATACACTTGCTCAAGTACTGTAATTACCTAAACTTTGAGGTGCAAACAACTACGTTTCTTGAGTCTCCCCATATTATGCAACTTTAGTCTACATGTCTCCAATTACTCCGCTGCTTTAATCTGACGTCAGTAGTTTCTTTGCATATTAAGATGTTTACATGACCAGCCTCTACAATATTATTTGTTATTGACTAAAGTGCCAAGAACTTATAAAGTAGTTAAAATGCGCTCTATCACGACCTGGTAGAACAGGAAAATGCTGCTTACACCTCACGTAGGCTATTCTTAACAATAATCCAATAAAATAATATAGCTAGATGCCTATAGGCTATTATTCTTGTGTACTTTTACTGTGTATTATGTAACATTTTGAATGCAGGACTTTACTTCTAACAGAGTAAACCATCACTGGATGTGTAAGAGGAAAGGTTAGACTACACACAGTCAGGCTAAAACTTTTCTCTGCGCAGCTGGACTTTGTGATGAACTGCAATACTTTTGATCTCCAAACGGTGGCAGGGAAGCTTCATATTTAGCCAGGTAGGCCTTTAGCTCTACCTGCGGAGGTTTTCAGGTGTCGAGTCATCATGACTTCTCCAAATCATAACGCACACATTAAACACGCATAGCTAATAATAAAAAAAAAAAACTACCGTAGCCTTTTATTCAAACAATGGATCAATCCCACTGCTTTGAAGGCTTATATTTACACACTATGAAAATAGGAGGGTTATTTAAATTTAAGCCAATAGGCCTATAGCTTTTTCAGACTCGTTTAAGGTCTAGGCCTATTTGACGTTTTCTTATATTTTCACTGGGTATAGCCTAATTTGGGAGCTAACTTAATAAGAAAACTTGCAGCCTCACACCAGGTCTGCATCTTCACTGTCAGAGTAGGTTGATTGGTTTTTCCGCACAGGCGGCTTCTGCCTGACGTGGGTGGGTTTGACGAGGTGGTGGGGAGGGGGAGGGGTGTCTCGTGCTCGGCGCGTGCCTCTCTGGACCATCTGTTGCACCGGTCCAACTGTCATAGACACCACGCGCCGATTTGGGGGAGGAGAGGGTAAATTCCCATGAGCAGTCTCGCGGGACTATTGGTACAATTCCCTCAAGGAAATGGACAATAATAACTCCCTAACAAGATTTAGGGGAACACTGCATCAGTTATTTTAGCCTAGAATATCTTGCGTATCATCATTTTGAAAGGTTGTTTATTTTTCATTTCCGCCTATTTATATATTTGCCAGTTTGTGTTTATGTCTGGACTTCATTTACCAAAACACTTCTTTGCTGCAGCTGCATCCTCAAAACTCTATAGGCCTAATGAAGGGCCTAACACAGGATTTAATCGTGTAGGTGATCTGGAGTCTTTTCCCAGGGCTCCCACAACTTTAAGCATTAATGTGAAGCTAAATCCCCATTGAACTGGAAAGGGGCTGCCAACGGTTTTTCTACAAAGCCTGGGAAAGCTGGGATATTTCTTGCACGCGTCAGACGTGCGACAGTTATTCAAATTGGACTTAATTATTCAACGCGTAGGCCCCATCTATTGTGTGATCACATCTGCTGCTGAGCGGGAACATTCAAATTTTATGCTCAAGTTCATGCTGCCTATACCTAACACACTGGCTGTTTGCAGCGGCAAATAGCCACAGCACCCCTTAAAACAGTAAAAATCCAGAGAAAAGTAGCAAATTTAGTAATAAAAGTTAACAATTTATGAGTGTTTTCCTAAATTGAAGCCTTAGATAGGCTATTGCATTTTATCAAAAGTTTCATGGGTGACCCGGTACCAACCTTATGAGAAGGCAAGTCTCGATAATGACCTCTTGAAAATTTTAGTAGGAGTTTGAATTTTCTAAATTTGTATCAATGATAATTATTAATAATAACGATAATAATGTTAATAATTAGGCTATAACCTAACATTCTTACTTTTTTCCTTCAAACCTACATGTAGGTTATTTTAAACAGTTTGCTTTAAAATCACCTTTAACAAGGTTATGACAAAATACAATACAGCCTACCGGTAGACCTGCAGTTATACAGAGCAGCCCCTCGCGCCCTTCTGCAACGGCCCAGCTGGTTGGCGCGTGCCGTAAAGTAATTGCTTTCGCTTGAGTAAACCTGGGCGCGTGCAGTAAGGATGCCTTCAGTCTATGTTAAGCCACAGAGAGAAGCATATCTTTACCTCAATGTATGATCTGAAATACGAAGATTAAGGCTAATAATAATAATAATAATAATGAATACATCACAAAGCCTACATATTTACATAGTATAACACATACAATTCACACATCTGCTGTTCTCCGGAATCAATCAACAATAAGAAGTAGGCTACACATACAGTTTATTTAAAAAAATTGACACCAGACAAAATATACTTTATTAAGCAGCGGAAAGAAGACCAACACACACAAAGAGAAGAAATGACTTTATTTATCCTTCCTTTGGGTCAATTTGACATCCCCAAACCTTGGTTGCTTCTTTTCATTGTTCCCTTAACCTTTCTTTGTTTCTTTCTTTCTTTGTTCTTTCTTTCACCCTTGCATATATTCTTGCTTGAGCTGAAATTAATTTAAAATCAAATTTAAAACATCAAGAAAACACCTTAGTCTCCTGTTAATCATTCTCTACAGGAGCAATTACAAAGTATATATTTGGCTTATACTAATTATAAATGTGATACATTTTATGTTTCAAATTTTAATACATTTTTTCATTGGGATTTCTGAGCATTAGGTCATATCTTTCATTTTAGATAGGAGGACCTTTAAAAAGTCAAACTCTTTGTGAATGATGCAGTAATCCTGTATTCCTTTAAAATGTGTCTTGAGGTAGCCAGCAATGAAGTGCTTTTTGAAATGCTGACATTTAGCCTACTACTGTTTATTTGCTGTTAATGATTATAATCGTATTTGCTGAATTTTGGAGTGATTTGTATTCTCCTAAATATCTAGTAAGTAAGTAGTAAGTAAAATTTATTTATATAGCACTTTTCACAGATAAAATCACAAGGTGCTTCACAATAAAACAACAAAATACAGTTCTAGCTAAACACCAGAAACACATTGACATATGACAGACAATTTATCTATTCTATCTATTGTTGCCATGATGTGCTTGCTATATTCTCAAAGTTTATCCCTTACTCAAGTATTTTATACAAACCTTTTAACAACTGCATTTTTCTCTTGTTTTTGGACACAAATCTTTTTTTATAATGTTGTTTTTCTGTAGGCCTATAGCCTAGTTATGGTAACAGTTTATGGTTGTTTCCCTTATGATAATCCCTGGAACTAGCGCACCCACTTTTCTAGAAATATCCAACAGCATTACAACAAAAGCAGGAATAAACGTGTCAGTTTTCTGTAGTAGCAGGTGATTATTTGGGTGTAGCATTTTATCTTACTGTTCATCTTGTTTCTGAGATGTCTCCTGCCCCCTTGAACTCACCATGCAGGCATGCTGTCTGTCCCACAGCGACCCAGTCATCCGTGAGCTGCAGTGAGAAATTTTACGGTCAGACTTTCTCACACTCAGGGCTCATTAGCGATTGACAGGAACAACTACGTCCGTCCTGTCAAACTAATTTGACATGACAGGCGTTTCAACAATGCAGCGTCTACGGTGAAAAGTCAAAAATATTTTACACACTCTGATGTGATCTATAATTTAGTAAGTAGTGTTTAAATGGTTTCACTCTGCCCGAGTTGATTTGAATATTAGATAGCCTACACCAAATAATTGTACATCCTTACAATGGAGTCAGCTGTCCTCCTTACAAGAAATGTAGATAAGATAGAAAATAGCAGATTAAATGCACGCGTTAATATAAAATCCACGTTTGCGTGTTACAGTTTAAACAGCTTTGGTTATACTGTAGCCTACTTGAACTTGTTGGGACACATCTCATTATTAAACCTTACA